GACGCGGTAGTACGCCCTGATGGCCTCGTAACAGACCCCATCGAGCCCAGCACTAGTGCGAGGTTTGCACTTAGCGATGGCTGTGTCCAGATCCTCCTTGGTAAAAGGCGCAGGGCGAACCGACGTGTGTGTTGCAATCATTCTGCGGATCGACTCTTCCGTGGGAGGCGGGAGGACGGAGGCATACTTCCGATCATAGAAACGGCGCAACTCAAGCCCCGCCACTTGTTGCCCACCTCGTTGTGCTATGTAGCTGGTTTCAAACGAAGAATGTGCTGCACTCTTTCGAAGGTACGTAATAGCTTGCCGATCCCCATCCCTTGCTCGCTGAAGAATCCCGAGCTGGTGTTCGTGGCGGTCCCTCGTCCTCTGCGCTCGTATCTCCGAGAGCATGTGCACGCGCACCTGCGGATCCTGACAGGCACGTCGCCTAGCGATTAGAGCCTTAAGGTCAGGAGAATCACAATATCGTAGGGAAGGGACCCTTTTGGCGTTGAGACATAACTCCGACATGCGAGCGGGGCAGAAAGCAGCCCCCGAGGAAGCGTAGGCCTCCAATGCCCCCTCATCGGGTAACCATCGCCCGCATCTCGTGCGAGGCCTAACCCCGCGAAAGAGCAAGGGTTCAGGCGTGGTCACGCGGAGAAAAACCGGGGAATGGTCCGAAGGGAGTGCGAGTCTCATGTCATCGCGCTTATAGGCATGCTTGTGACTACGGGCAACCCGAGACAAGACGCAACTCCAATGCCGAAGTGCGTTCCAGATGGGTGTCCTGCCTAGATTCCAAGGACTGAACCTTCGCAGCAATACCCTGAACAGACTCATTAGTTCGCTGTATGGCCTGCATCTGGTCCTGCTGGCCGCGATTGAGCCGGTCGATGCCCGCCTGCAGCGAAGCGGCCCATGGTGGCGGGGCTTCGTCCCCAATGTCGTACTCCTGTGGCAGCGGTCGTTTAGGCTTGTCGGGAGGGCCGCCTCCGCCAAACAGCGGCGGGGACTGTAGTCCAAGAGGCGGTCCTTTCGCGCCAGCAGGGTTAGGGTGCGACTCTAGGTGGGTAGGCCTGGCTTTCTTCTCCGGACTAGTTTTGGGTGAAGCCTTGGGAATCCTACCAGTGGAATGCTTCGCGAGTAGACTAGCCGCTACCGCCGCCGCTTCGGCCTGCTTGGCTTCGGTTTCTGCGAGGCCGACCCCTCTCCCCGGGCCTGGCCCCGTTTCCTCGGGCCCCCCCCCCCCGAGTGCTGCGTGGAGAGCGTCTCGAGCAGCCTCCTGCATGTCCGCATCAGGCGGTTCCGCCCCCCCGTGCAGCGCACCCGAGCTAATAGGAGTGCCGGGTTCCTCCACCCCCCCCCCCCCCAGTGGGCCAGAGCGGTGCAGATTGGGCAGAAGAAGAGTTTCATCATCAGACCCCGCCATCACCGACGAACGACGAGACGACGACGAGGAGAAACTGGAAGAGCTTGCAACAAGGGGGGCCTCAGAACAAGAATACCGGAGAGGGGGACTCAAGAACCGCGCGGCGCAGCCCCGGCACAGTGCTGCAAGGCACGCCAGGGGGCACACTCGCCAGCTGACGGCGGATCTTGAGCCAAGGGGTTTAGGGTTTAGGGTTTCGGAAAATAGGGACCCTAATATAGTACCCTAAATAGTAGGATCCTTATTATAAGGACCCCAACTTAAGGTACCCTAATTTTTGGAAACTCCCACATGTAGCCACCCGAGTGTCAGCATTCCTGGAAGCCTGTCGAGTAATTAAGGACAGACTACCCGCAGTACTCCATGCCTAAAGTACATGGACGTGGTTTGTTTACTTGGCTGAAGATCTGCACCACTTCTTATTAACTTTCGCATAGACGGCTTAGGGATCGTCGCGATATTCGCGATGTGCGAAGCGACGGTGTTTCATGGTTTTTGGAAGATGTTTTGAAAGGTTTCTGTTCTCGCATCTCGGACTCTGCTGCTTTGAAAGGTTGCGACTCGCACGCTCGCACAAGGCAGGCACGGACTCCAGGCAACAAGTGTGAACTAGAACACTCTGTCAGTTCAATATCGTGTGACAGCAGAAACCCATAACATCATGTATGAAGCTAGACCATTACCACCCCGCATATGACAAGGATTGACAAGGCATCACACGATACCAGAGTGAGATCTGCGCGGGGGCAGGAGTCTATGAGGTCGCATGTCCTGTGATTCGGGGCTACCCCCGCAGCTGCGCTTGCAACTTGAGCCATTTCGACCCTCACACTCGCACAAGGCAGGCGTTTAGGGTTTGGTGTTTAGAGGATGAAAGTCGGCCCAACTGTAGATCCGGTGCAGCAATGCAGCGTCGGATTCGCGTTTCGACTCGGACGCCCGCACAAGACAGCCTCGGTTTCGCACTTAAGGCTTCTAGCGCTTAGATAGGTTTTTGCGATCGACTCAACACCAGATGGTGACCCGACACACTGAACAGGCTAAGACTCCACAATGCCGTATGTCATGAGCTGCTCTGTCTCCTTGAGAAGGCCCGAGTTGTCCATCTGCTGCATCTGCCTCGCCACAACTGCAAAATGCAGATAATGGCGATGTGGAGGAACAGCCCTTACCCAATGACCGGCATGGTTCTTCTAACGATGGTGATGGTGATCATATCACCATTAGCATCGTGATCGCTATCGTCATTGCTTCTTGCAGTCAGAATGTCAGTATGTCTGGCACGGCATTGCATTATCAGCCGGATGCACGTTGTCGCCCTTCTTGTCGCTAGCAATGCTATCAGAGTACGTGGCATGCTAGGGCCTAGGGTTCTCCAGCTGTTGACCATCGCCTTGGGGCTTCGATCAACCTTGTCTGTCTTGGGCCAGGACTCGGACCCTTTCTTGTTACATATTCTCGTTTGGATTGTGGGGGCCGTTTGAGCATGCCTTACAAATGGAGCTCGCGCTCAGAAAAGAAAGCCCGAACCAGAGCCTAGAACAACTGCGACTTCAAACAATGCCGGAGCTGCCCTGCATCAAAGAGTTCCGGACATGCAGGTCACAACGGTGTTTGGCCGAAACTAACGATAACACAATGAACGAAGTACGCGTCGAAGCTTCAGGGATTCGTGGGAGCCCGAGCCAACCTCTTGCAGATCCTCGTCCCTGGTGTCCTCGCTAGGAGTGTTCGCCTGCCCGTTCGGAAGATCTAAGGCTCGTGGCTGAGGCTGTCGTGTGCCAGTCAACAGGTGAAGGCACAAAGCTATCCATTCTGGGAACTTGGTGTTTAATTACAGCGGATTTGCTCACAGGCTAAAATCGTACTATTGGGGGCTCCGGTCCAGTGCTGCTGAGCCTATGACATGACAAACAGCGTCCGAGAGCTGTGCAAAACATTTACATGCTTCGAGCGCTTGGGCAGTTTCCGGTCTCGCCGTGTGGTAGGCGCCTGTGCCAAACGGTACAGAGTGACCGAAAGATCCAACCCTGGAAACGACCGAGCGACGTGTGGCTGTGGCTTGGCTGTCGCTGCTCTTTCCGTTTGAGACATAGAGAGCAAGCCATTTCAGTTCTTTCTGCTTTGAGATTCCTGGACGTTTCCGTCTCGAAAACTGCCGGCTACGATGCTCCAAAGACGAGCCTTGACTTCGCAGCTTCAAAGCCGGGCTTAAAGAACATTCGACTAGTTGTAGCTTTCAAGCCGCCGGCTCAACTGTCAGTTACACTCCAACTCCAACTCCTACTCCTACTACTACTACTCCTACTACGAATGTATGTTGCGAAGAACCTGATATACGACTAGAGCCTAGATCCGAAGGCAAAGGCCGGCGTGGGTTGGCGGATGTTGACGGGCTTAGGTCCAGAAGTACAGAGTAGTACTAGTAGTAGTGAGTAGTGGTAGTAGTAGTAGTAGTAGTAGCGGTGGTAGTTAGTCGTAGCAGTAGTAGAAGTCGTAGTCGTCGTCGTAGTAGTAGTCGTCGTAGTCGTCGTCGTCGTCGTAGTGTGCGTAGAAGCAACATACATTACGGCATGGCTCATGTACGGCCGGTGTTTTTCATGTCGCGTACCTCAGTGGCCGCGTCGAAAAGGACCTGCTCCGTCTCGGTCGTGCCAGTGTCCTGGGACGCGAAAATGTAGTTTCATTCCCCGCAACACCTTGCAGCTCAACCAAACCGCAAGCAAGCGTTCTTGGTGTACGTGACCCACACACTCAACGAAACCACATCAAATGTCGAAAATTCGTGAACCCGAAAACAGGTCAACAACACCAACCCGAAAGCCCTGAAACCCTGACAACTCCAAACCTTCGAACCCCAGAGTCAGCAAACCCCGCAAGAACACCAAAACCCCTGCCCTGAAGCCTCGAACCTTCTGAACTTCTGGGTTCCTCAGGACCAAGGTTCCCATTTCGAAGGAATCTACTACCCGAGACCACTGAAACGCCTCTAAAGGAACCAAAACGCACCCAGAAGACCAAAAGCCAAGTCACAAGGAGCTGGGGGTTGCAACTTGGACCTCAGAGTCTTACCCTCCAATGAAGAACCTAGTGAGCGAGGACCCCTCCAGGATTTTGGTGCTTGGGACTTATGTTCAAGATTCTTCGGAAATTAAAGGCACATCACTTGGAACCGCACTGTACAACGAAACCAGACGAGCCGTTCTCGCAGCTGGCTTTGAGACGAACATGGAACGAACGCGAGGAATCGGACACCTGAGCGCCTGCTAGGAAAAGAGGCGGCAGCGGGTCTATGGCTAGCACAGCCGTCCGGATTGAAGGATGGTTCGGGGTAGAAGGAGGGGATTAAGGGTTGCGGGTGCATTTTTGCCAAACAGCCGGTACAAGTAAAACCAAGGATCCAACAAACTGAGCCTACTTGACAGAGGGAACGGGCAGGGGTCCGGTTTGAAGGATCTGTCTCCTCTTAAGGGATGAGGGGTTTCGTCTCTCACTTTCGCACAAGGCTGCAAGCCTCCATACTTTTCGGGCGAGGCGTCTGAGTGAGTCGCAAAGACACAAGGCTACTTCGACTGAGATGAACAAGTCAGGGCTTCGCGGCTTCACACTGTACCTCGAACTCAAGTAAAGCCTCCAGCATCCAGAACTTGTCTTTCCAGTACTCCTGCCCGGCACGAGCCTTCAGCACATGTTCGATGGCCTCCTCGGTAGTCATAGAAAGCGAGATGAGCACAGCAACCAAAGCTGCGGTTGAGCGGTGGGTTCCCAGGTAGCAGTGAAAGAGAATCTGGATCTGCCCCTGGTTCTCTGTCTCCGAGGTATACCTCCGCAGTGCTTCCACCACTGCCCCCCAGGTGCTCAGAAACTCCTCCTTCTTCTGCACCCATTTCTTCGATCCTGGCTCGAGGCCGCTGGTGTCAAAGCCGCCAAACCGGAAGTTCTGGACGCCCTTCTCGCGAAAAAAAGCTGACCAATCTGATAGTTCGCCATCGTGCCGTGTCGCATCATCTGCATTCATCGTAAACACCAGGTCCAGCTTGTATTTTTCGTGGAACTTCTTCGCGGAAGTAATGCTTCCCAAATAGAAGCGATACTTCTGGTTGGAAAAAACCTCGACCATGTCAAGGGGCCACTTATCGATGGAGTCTCTATAGCGCAAGCCCTTGCTGGCGTCGTGGATGCGCCAATCCTCCGTGTTCCACTCCCGCTTGTAAGCTCGGGCCAGCCGTGCCTTCAGCCGGCCAAGCCGCTCTTGGTTTTCCTCCGGCACCTCTTGGGCTGCGGGTGGCGCCGCCATGGAGTGCAGAGGATAGGTCGCTAAAACGCTCAGACTGAACACCCTTCTCCAGCCCTCTCGTGGATTGTCTCAGCTGTCAGGCTTAATTGAAGCCTTCTGATGACCTACGCAGGGTCTCACAAGAAAGCACTGCTACAAGGAGTCCCTCGGCTTTGAGAAAAACCTATCTGATGCAGAACGATCACGTGGACAGAGCTCAGAGCGCAGAGATCTTCGAGCGTGACTTGAATTCAATGGATAACTTGGCATCTATCAACACGAAAGCACAACTCCAAGGTCCTGGCCCACGGCATCGTCCGACTGGAACAGCACTTCCTCTTCATCATCATCCGCCTGCCCCGGGTGTTGAAGTAGAAGCCAGAACGTGGGACCAGCATTATCCCAATGACCTTAAATTTTCAAGCATCGAAACTTCCAGCAGAAACAGCCTCAATCCATGTCCCATGCATCGACACGCGCAGCTGCGGGTGTTATGCTGCTGATGCGGTGCGGATGTCAACGCCTGCGACTAGACTTTCGAAAAACGGCTGCGCAACCCTAAACCCTAAACCGTGCAACCTGTCGGGATCAAGCGTGCGGGGAGATTGTGATTTCAAGGTGGGAAACTCCTAGCTGCCAGGCCTCAGAGCTTCAATAAACCCCCGGCAGAGTCCCAAAGCCTACAGGAACAGACGATCACCCTCATATATGGGCCGGAACAATCACATCGGGTTTGGGGAACTACGGTTATACTACATATGGGGACGATACAGTGATGCTACTTCTGATTCTCCAGATAAATCACAGCACTCGACTTACGGCACCTGCACAATCCTGGCTTCGCAGGTGGCTGGGTTCTCGGACGCCATGGTGACCTTAGACCACGACGAGGGGAAGGGATAGTAAGTTCTAGGCGGGACCCTTGCAAGGTGTACCGTTTGGCAACGGCTTCTGCAATGCTTCTCCATCTTTTTAGCGCAACTTTGTCGAAGGCTGCCTCATAGTCATACAGTGTGCGAGAGTTTTTGTGAGGACGAAGGGCTGGGTTATGTTTCAAAGCCCGAGAACCATGGAAACTTCTAGACCCTCAACTCCGAAAAGCACGAACAACGCTGAACACTGCAACTCGGAGCTACCCTAAGGCTCCATAGTAGTTCCCTTTTAGGGTTTATATTTAGAATCCTATAAGGTATCCCCAAAAAGGAACTACTTTGGAGCCTCTGGGTAAATTCTCCAACAAGACTTGGGACCGATCTGAGGCTCCGGCGCAATGCGTCACGGCGGTCCGGACCCACGTCGGCCAGCTGTGGGCCGAAATGTCGTTCGGACGATTTTGTATACATTCATATAATATACATATATATATATATATATATATATATATATATATATATATATCGTGTGTCGCAGATGTTCCAAGGTCTTCGACATAGAGAAGATCAGAGATCAGGCAGGCTGGCTCCACGATTGAAGCAGACTTGAGGCAAGATGCGTGGTCTAGACCCACAGAAGAAGCAGCTGCAGCGGACAGCAAATTGGGCCATTCGACGTCTGAAGACGCGTGGGCCAAGCAGAAACCCGGTCTGATGGTCCCGGCATGCAGCTCCGATCTTGTTGCAGCAGTTTGGATTGGGCTCAAGGTCTTGATCTCCGACCACGACCAGTCGGAAACTCCAGGTCGTTGAGGACTTGGGGTAGCAGTAATTCTGGGAGATTCACATCACTTGAAGTCCCTGTGGCCAATCTACTACGTCTCCGAAAGCGTATCCAGAAGACTATCTTCCGGTCGATGCGACATGTTAGCTGAAAGGCACTTCGCGCACACATGTAAAATGTAAGTACACGTCTATACGTCTGTTAAAGCAGGTTTATCAAGCCACTCATCGCTGCGCTGGTCTTTGCTCCACTGGCTGCTTCTGTCAAATCGTTTGCGCTGGAGCTTTGGGAGCCGGCTGCGCTTTCGGGGGCAAAGGCGCGCTGGCCTGGGTGGCAGCTGTTCGGGGGGTCCTGTGTACACGGTGTGGGGGGGAGGGGGTAGTCAGTCGTCCGTGTGTGGCCTGTAGATGAATCACGATTGTTGCCACGAGGCTATTAGCTAGCGGCTAGGCCGATTACGTATGAGCACTCCGCATAAGGTCGGGGCTTCATAGTATGTATGCGTGCGTAAATCTTTGGGTCTTCAATGGTGCTCTTCGAGTGTCTAGCCTCCCCGACTTACAGACCTAAGGGAATTAGCGTTGACAGCATTTTTGAGCTCAAGGCGGCACAGCACGTTATAGGTCCCAGGGTAGGGCGGGGCTTCCAAAAGCAGTATAAACCAACGGCCCCTTATTGGGACTTATGACACGTCAGCCCGAAACTCAAGGTTTGCAAAACATGCCGCTGATGCACCAAATCCTGCACTACATAAGTGTAATTACCCTGAGCCATGGATGTTGTGTCATAGAAATCACAAATGGACTTCGTCCATCAGCCCTTTTTGCATCCGGGCTGTGGAGTTCTGGCCGGAAATGTGCATCAGCCCTAAACCCCCAAAACAACCCAGCAGTCGTTTAGTAAACCGAGGAAAGCCTTATACCCTGAAGCCCGACACCTCGAAGGAAGTGTCCTCGGCCTCGTCCGGATCGAACTGGGGAATGGCGAACAGGCCCACCAGCTCGCGGCTCCGCATCCTGAGGTAGTAGTGCTTTGCTTATAGTTTCTGACTTTTGTAATATAGTTTTGGCTCCTGAGTTTAGTTTTGATTTTGTTTGGGGGAACTACAAGACTTGTGTGGGTATTGAAAATCTTGTTTGGGTATTCGGAATCAGTAGGGTGAAGGGCCGAGGGTGTGCTTGCACACCTCGGTGTGACTCAACCTTTCTTTGGAAGACTGTTTGAACAAGGTCGATAACTAGTTGCAGAAGAGGCGAGTATTTCTAGTTTCAACCCCGAACATGAAGTGAACACAAGCTAATCTTCTTGATGCAGCGTTGGCTCCAAGAAAGCCCCGCTGCAACTGTTGCGGCCGCCAAAGAGACACTCGCTGCTCGCCTTGGTAGCCAGCGCGGCGGCCAATCCTGGGCGTCAGAATAGAAATTTTATTTCGAAAGCAATGTCTTGTTCTTCCTTGTCAATGACTAAACAAGAACAGCCAACACAGACATGAGAAGCGGGTGCAATCCTAACCAGCTTGGCTTCTAAATTCGTTTGAAATTCTCGGAGCCCTTTCGTCCAAGCAACCCCGGCATTGTACATCTGCGAAGCGACCATGGAGGTGCACACCACGCCAATTCCGCCGAGAGAGCCTGCGAAGACTCCCTCGATCTAAGACGTGTCCAAGGGCCCTGCTGCAGTATTGAACCAATTTCCAGACTCCCGGACTAGCCTTCAGCATGGAACCCTTCATAACATCGTGGGTCCGAGCCAAACGGACCCCACCAGTGCATGTCGAGGGTAGCATGTAGGATTCTCTGAATCCAAGCGTCCACAAGCCTAGCTTCTGGAGTAAACAGTGCTCGGCACCCCACAACACCACGACATCTCTGTTGTACGCCTTATAACCTCTTAGCGACCCTCGAGACCTGCTTCGCATTGTCGCATGGCTATTTATGCTAACCGCGCACACCTGTTCAGTCGCTCAGACTGATGATATACTTGCACAGGCAGCCTCCCATCAACCCGGCACGAAGCGCCAGTTTCTTCCGGTGGGAGGAGATGTAATGCCTCAGGAGGCATCTCGAGCGTCAGGGCGCAGCGTTCATAGATCTCAGTGCCTTTGAAGCACACGCATCGGGTCTTCTGGGATAGCATCCACCCCGGGTACTAGCAGTACAACTCTGTCTTCTTGTTTCGTTTGGACACATCATCGAATTTACGGCATTTGCTCCAGCAAAGACATGCTCGTGATTTCGTTTTGCACAATGTGGTAGTTACTAAAACATCCACGCAGCACTGGACCTGAGGTGTCAAGCAGTTGGAGATTGAGGCGTTCGGTTAGGACGGTGGCAGGGAAAGGTGCGGGGTCGCCTGGGATACTTGCGGCCCAGAAAACCGCTGCTGCCAGCTTGATGCTCGAAGACACCGACAAGAATCTCCAGTTACCGGTTTTCAACGTCCCTAAATGGATGGTATGAGGGAGGCTTGGATTGAAAGTGGTTAAAGCCAGGCACGGGGAAATACAGATTCTGCAATTCATAGCCCCATTTAGGCGAGCGGCGGCTCGCCGGTAAGCTGATACATCATCCAGTCGTCCATGGCTTCTCTACTCAGAGGCCGCAGTTTGGACCCTGCAATTCGTGTGTTCACTCGACCTCGGCGTCAGTTTTGTCGACATCTCGCAGGGCTGAAACCAAGCGAACGTTTCGCAAAGACTGGTCCGAAGTATGATGCCCAAACTATAACGTAGTCCGTTGAAGTCGATCCGAAACCATGTGCTGCCATATAACCGTTGGTTTGGGTGTACAATGAATGCTGAAGAAAGTCGCGTGGTGCTGCAGAGGCCATACAGCAACTAAAAACAGCTGAGGGTTCATCATGGCTCCGAACACTCAAAGCCTCTGAAAGTAAATTGTTGCAGGCCGTAGAAACCTTATCACAGGCGGCAACTTCTTCTGCAAGGCCGAAAGACTTCGTTTTGTGGCCCGGACACCTGGACATGAAACTCGCTGAGCAGGTCCGCCCTGTATAGGTGCTAAGTCTTAGGATTTCCATGTCAAGCACAGGACTGACGGAGTGCTTCTTATAAGAGAATCTCTTTGCTAGATCTGGGCTCTTTGACTTGAAGAATCTTGAACACACAACTTCATCGCTCCTGATGGGCAGGGATATCCCAAACTGCTACCAAGTATCCAAATCCCGAGCGCACTGGCGCGGCTACGGACGGGTTTGAAACCCATCCACCTGTCTTAAACCCGACAGAACAAGAAAGCCCAAGCTAAATCTGAAACCTCATCGTGTGCAGGTGTGCGTTTTGTCCGGGCAGGTCAGGCATCCGAAAAGCAGGCCGCCGTCGGTATTCTCTGAGTCGGAGCGCGAAGAGCCCGGATACTTAGGGTGGCGGATTGGCGGCAGGCGCCTTGACAGGCCGTGGTGCCCCATGTCACTCTTCGTACCCTTGCGTATTTGCCCTCGAGTTGCTTGGCCGCAAAAGCGGAAGTTTTTGATAGCTCGGGGAAGCTTTGAGGTTGTGGCTTCGGTAGGCTATGAGTCTTAACGGCTCCTGTTCCTCACAGAAAACGCTAGGCCCAGACGCGCGTAGCATAAGCCTCTAAATGGTAAAGGGAGCCCCTGTTCTACACTGCAAGAGATCCTCGCCGTTCGTCTCAAGACTAGAAACCCGGCCAGAGTCAAGTCAACCTTCGAGCCGTCCCATGAATCCAGGAGCCGTTGCTAAACCGTTGAGTCGAAGATCGAAGCCATGATTAGCAGATCGTGGGAGGCGCTTCGGCCAGGCAGTTCAAAGCTTGAGAACTCAAATCTCCACGTGCCGAAGTACTATAGGGGTCTGAACAAGAAGAATAGGGTTTTGGGTATACTGTACTATAATCATTGTAAGGAACCATCAAAATAGTAGTGGTACTGGTTAAAGCCCCTATTTTAATCATATCAAGGGTCGCTATACCATGTCGGCACCAGGTCACACAATATCCATTGAGAAGAAATGAGAAGAAGAAAGGGCAGTCAGCCACAAACTCTGCATGACTGGCATAGCCCCGGAAGCCAAAGACAGAGAGCAAGGCAGTGAGAAAGAAAAAGGTACCAGGAGACCGATGCATGCGACAGAAAGTGGCTCACCCCTGCCGCATCCCTGAACACTACATGCTAGAATTCATCCGGAGACTCCCATGACCCGGAAACTCCCAAAGAAGGGAGATCCTCCAGAGCACCCTGAACTTTCGACCGTAAACTGATGCCCGCCTCAGCACAATTTATGAAGCCCTGGCCCTGAAGACTTAAGGAAGTTGCTCTAGATTCTGAAAGGCTTCTACCAAGCCCTCGAAGTCCCTTTGAGGCCGGAGCCACCTCTGGCTTTGCAAGGTGCCTGCTGTGGGGCTTCGGGACACTCTGCTCCGCCCTGGATTGCGGCAGCTGATGTCGGACAGCCTCTTCTACGGTCAGGATCCCATAAGAAAGTCGGTATTCAAAGAAGAGGGGTCCCTGAGCAACCGGGGTTGTTTTGAAAATGAAACTCGGCAATACCAGGCGAGGTTTGTAGACAACAGGGTGCGTGTACCTATCCGTCTCACTGTCAAACGCGGCTGCATCGTAAGCCAACGCCAAGTAACTCTGGCATTAGGGTTTAGGCCCATGTCGGCCAGCCTGGGATTCTGGTTGGCTACGCTGCCAAGACGGAGTATATTGAACCGGCGCTAGAAAAGCAAAACTCCTGCACAGAGCATTTTTAGCCTCTTTCAAACGTCCCCGTACAGTGCACATTTGTGCCGCATCCTATGCATGACTACGCCAATGCACAGAACACACACCCAGATCGGGACCGCTAGCCAGACTGAACCGTTACTATTAATCATTATAAGCAAAATCTCACGCTCAAGACTCAAGCAATTGCTTGGCATCCAGGTAGATGGCCTTGAAGAAGGGGGAGCCCATGATGCACCGATTCTCATCCATGTACATCGTGGTTCTCTCAACCTCCCAGCCATCAGGCGTTGTTATCTTCGCCAGGATATCCTCCGTCTTCGTGCCTTCACGGCTGAGATCTCGTGGTGGCTGGGGCCCCCAAGTGTGCAGCATGCCTTGCCCTTCCTCCCATGTTGTGATAACTTTGGAAGCTAAGTGCCTGTAGATGGGGTATTCGCTAAACTCCCGCATTGACACCACATAGTCCAAGTCCGTGCTCACGTAACCCAGGCTGACCTCGCCATGACCGTCCCCTAAAGGTAAAACAAATTCGCCACTCAAATGGAAGATTGCCAGAACAGTTTTTGGCCTCGGACGATGAAAGCAGAATTGCAACCAGCGGCGATCTGTCGGTGATTGCTCACAGGTGTCGGAAACCTCCCAGCCGTAAAGGCCCATTGCCATGAGAGCTGGCGACTCCTCCCCGACTACCTTCAAAGCACCCGAGAAAAGTTCCGGTAGCTTTTGAGACATCGTCCGTGGAAACGCAAGCCTGCGCCTGGTCAACTCCAGGCTTTCGTTTCCATTCATGGCCTTGAAACTCTCCGAGAAGCTTCGGACTACGAGCTGAGGTTTGGGCTTCTCCAAGTCAGAATCCGCTTCCTGTGACTCCATGCTTGGCATACTTGTGTAAATGTCAACTTCCCCCTGAAAGGACGAGTAAGATATCTTGTGGTTCTTCATGTCGCTCCTGGCCCAAAGGAAGCAGCTGCAAAGATCAGCATCCCGCGCAAGGAGCTTTTCCAAACTGACCGTTTCAAGCTGCTCCAGGATCCAGAAGCCTTCACCTGCTTGGAGGCACTGGGGCCACAATCTCTTGAGACTCCGGCAGCTGCGCAAAGCCTTCAAAGCTGCAGGGCCGCTGAGCATTTGGAGAATGCGTGGCAGCCACACGGATACGAAAGTCTCCATTGCCAGCACAAGACTGAAGCACCGCTGCAGCAAGCCAACAAGCCTTGAGCCGTAGCCATTGGCGTGCTGCGGCATTCAGGGTGTCTTCTGACGCCACGAGTCCAGTGTCTCAAGCAACAGTCTTGCGAGTGTACAAGTGCCACCGCCGGATCATGATTGATCATGAAGCAAACATCTGTTGGACATCATCATGCACAAATGTGCATACTGCATACATGTGGGGATCTGCGACATGCAGCTCTGGCGCAGGAGAAGGCCACTTGCAGCTTCCATCATAATGACAGCTCCCCCCTTGCAGGGAACTCATGGAACATGGGTGAAGCACTCACAGGTCGTCGCCAGCTCCCGGCACTGGAACACTGGAACATTTGGGAAGCAAAGCCCACGATGACAATAAGATGAGCGGAACACAAACTAAAGCTTCGACTGAGGCATTCTTTTTACAGAGACGGACCCGGCAAACCACCAACCCAGCCAAAAGACCTACCCCCGCTGGTGAGCCTGCCCGCGGCAAACTCCTCCAGACTGTGGACCTGCACCGGGCAAACACCGCCCTTGCACTTCCAAGGATCTGGACTGGCAGCAAGGCCACTTAGTGTATAGTATATGCATGTGGGAAGAACTCGGACGGCTGCTTGCTAAAAAGAGGGCCGCAGCCCTCCATCAAGGATGCCCCTAGAACCGACGCAGCCAGATTCTTCCCGATCGAAACTCAGTCCTGCATAGACTGTGTACTTAACTTACTTGCTTGCTTGCTGCGTTAGCTTTCTTGGTTACATGCATGCATACCGTAAACCTTTATACAGCACACATGTAAGTTTCATGTGCAAGCGAGGCGGATCTGAACATAACAGGCAGCTGGATGCAGCATCAGTCAACATGCCGATGACGAAACACCTCTTGCTGCGAGGAGTACCTGTGTTTGTGCCAACTAACAAAGGCAGGTCCTAAACACGAAATAGGGCTCCTAGCTCAATGCCAACAGACCTCCTAGAGCATCCGAGAATGCTGCTGCTCAACCCAACAACCTGAAGCTCAACCCCCTTTAAGACTCCTGTTCAAAACGTGGACAGCTTGCATGCTACGAACAAGTTCAGAGATTCAAACCTAAAGCCCTAAGGAACACATCTAACAAACAACTGCATCCAGCTCTAAACCCTTTTGAATCGGGAGTTACGCCATTCATTAACAAAACACTGTCTAGAGTCTAGAATCGTGCATCTGTGTAACTTTGGTATAGCCTAGTACGATATTATACACCATCGAATTCGATCCACAACACAAAGTCAAGACTGAATGGGCCGATGCCTTAAAGCCGCTAATGACCCACTTCGTCAGGGCCTCGTGCGGTGGGTGGTGTCAGTGTAGCTTTGCATTTCGACTCTCGGCTTTCTTGGTCTAGGCTTCGTGCTTCGGGCTTACAATTAATTTTTGACTTCTCTGGCAGAGGGTTGAAAGTACGGAGCGGTGACAGACAAGGTCTTACACGTTAAGCCGAAGAGTGGCTTGAGGAGCTAATGGCTAATTACTACCGGCGCGAGGTCTTGTGGATCAGGAAGGTCGGAGCTGTCTGACGTGGGAGGTCTGCGAGGTTGGTGCAAAGGTTGTTATACGGGTACGGGGCTTCTTGCCGCCCATGCTTTGCCATGAACTCGGATTGGCGGGCTTGAGTGGATGGCTCCAGCCAAAGTGTTTGATAGCTTTTGCGCGGTCTAATGGCACGCATCCAAGTCCTGAATCCAACTTCGGAAAGTGCAAGAATGCACTAGCTGAAACCTTCACCCTGACTAGGCCCTCTTCCCCAGACCCTTTTTGCGCAAGGTCTTCGGTGCACATTGCCCGAGGATTGCTCCTTGCCTTTCATCTAAAAGCCCGAAAAACTCTTAACCTCAAAACTGAATTAATCGGCAGTCCCACAGGGGCTGACTTGGTTGACCCAATGATACTCAACAGACAAAGCAACCACGGCTCCCAGCTTTAAACTTGAACCACTGAGGCACATGAACCGCAAATGCAACCGTCCCACGCCGCCGCCGAAGAAACTGCTACCCGACAAGAACCTCTGGGAGGTAGCTGTAGAGCTGGAAATGATTGGCCTTGGATTCAGGTCTCGTAGTCTTCAAGGTCTGTCGATGTTTCCCCTTCTGCTGAGGTTGGTCGTTCTGCTTGTTGCTCAGGAAGCAACCCTTGTCTTGTCTTCGGGCATTTCAGCCTGCTCTGGCCAACAGAGATCGTTCTGGGGCCCTTGTTTCGAATTAGCGCTCCGAGCTGCGGGAATTGGCACCCTCTGCCATATTGACATATTGCAGATGTTCGGATAAAAGGCATGCCCGTTTTTCCTTGCTGCTGCTTGTCTCGGACACCTTGCTTTACAAGCCCTGTGCAGGGGTATGGGGCTTCGTGTGCTTCCGGAATGTCTTGGGCAATCGGCAGGATCCTGGTTCTGAGTGGAGCCCCTGCACTTCAAACGACTTGCGAAGTCACAAGGTGTAGGAGCGGTTGTTTGAGCTCAGGCTACGCCTGAAAAGTAGCAAGTCGAACGCTCTCGGCGTGAGACATACAAGAACAAGTGGCATAAAATCCGATCGACATGTCTCAAACCTCCGCACTGTGCTTGAGCTATAGTGCTTCGCGTTCTATGTACTCTCCATACTACTGTTCCTAGCAAGAGAACTTGCGGAGGCCGTCGACACTAAAGCTTGGCACAAGTGAGTCCACAAAACATCGCTGAAGTTATGTGCACCATTGGAAACGCAGCAGCAGCGGCAGCAGCGGCGGCGGCGGCGGCGGCGGCCGCAGCCGCAGCCGCAGCAGCAGCAGCCGCAGCAGCAGCAGCAGCAGCCGCCAGCACCAATGCACTTCTTGCAGCGAGGGTATTCCACTGTAGCTGTTACAGCCAGGCACTGAAATCACGCCTGTCCTCGATGATTACGGTAGCATTGAAAATCCTGATGAAAGTTCGGATAGTCACAACAGATAGTACCAAGGGGAGATGCAATTGCATTTGTGCGATTCGGATGCCATTAGTCAAACGAAAGATGGAAATACTTCATCTGAGAGACTGGCCAGGGAGGAAGTAATCGACCAGTTCATGTTGATTTCAGTTGTGCAGACTCATTCGGTGAGCGAGCACCACATCGCAGTGGCCATAGTGGAAACTTCTGACTCCAAACCCAGCACTCCAAATCTATCGCTTGGCAAGCGGCGCCCTCAATCACGTGCATTTCTTTCGGCCCTGGCCTTGTGTCACAAGAGCGGCTGTTGAAGTTCCGGGTCTGGGGCGTAAGGGGTCTGAATCAAGATACCAGGATCCGGGGACAAATGAATCCACTGCTCCCATCCCTGCCTGTTGCGACCGGGAAAGCAACGAATAGTAGCAGTGAAACTCAAGAAGAATTCTTCCCAATGCCCCAGACATTGTTAACGTTCAGGGCTTGCGGACTTGGGGGCTCTGAAATGTAAGGTTCTGAATTATTCCAATTACAAAAACAGGAAGGCAGAGAAGCAAAAGCGGAATCATCAAACTGACTTCATTGTGCCATGCCGTAAGACGACAGCGAGGTAGCCAAAGTCTGAGGACACCAATAAGTCTGGAATTGGCACTGACCGAGACAGATCAGGACGACCAACCCCCATGTGCGCCCGACCAGCAATGCACAGCACGTTGTACTCAACCTGGTGCGCCAGCCAAAAAACCCGACGCACCCGAACCACCAAGAACAAGCCAGGTGTGCATGAGCTACGTCTTCCTTCCGAAGTTCTGACTCTGTCCCTCTTCCGAAGCTCGAAATCCCTGCTGCCGGGTCCGGTACAAGGAGTCGGCAAAGCCTGGAGGCAAAAACGTGCTGCTTTTAAGCCACGGAGCCACTGGGACACGTTCGTAGCATAATACATAGAGACAGGATGCAATGACCCGGGCCCTGACAGCTCCGAACTTGGGTCTTCCCAGTCGATGGCTGGTTCGGATTCAGATGCAGGGCTTTGAAAGTAAGTGTTTTGAAGCTCCGGCATCCGCGAATGCGGGCGGGAGCCCGAGGCTCATGCAGACTTTCGATTCAGCCAGGGACTGGCGGTTGTAGGATTAACCGCTTCAGGACCCATGATACATCTCGCCATTTGGACCAGAATTCCATGGGGAGCTGGAACACCCAAACCCTGTATTTGTGTTTCAACCCTAGCCCGAGCGAATTGAACTCTGAGCACTTAAAGCCTTCAAACCCACCCTAGCCCCCCTAAACCCTCATCAGCCCTGACCGGGCCGATGTAGAGCCCTTGCAGAACCCTCATACCGTCCCAAAGCTCAGAAGGCCCATCGCCAGAAAGCCTTGGAACGACTTCATGGAGCAAAACTCGTCTGTCGTCCCCACCTGCAGAGCTGACGCTGAGGTCCTCTGCTTGGGCCCGGCTTTTGAACTTTAAACTCTGAGTCTGCTCATGCATTTCGACTCGCACGGTCACACAAAGCAGGATAAGCATTGCGGGCTTGAGGAAGAAATTGGTCTCTCGCAGGTTGCATTGTGTGGGATCTGACGTTCTCTGAAGCGTTTTTTTTGAACGTCCCTTTGTCGTCTCGCATGATCCGGGAAGCGGTGGTTCCGCTGGGCGTAGAGGAGAGCCGGTTAGGCTTGCGGGGAATAGCATAGTATAGTGAGTATGAAATGCAAAGAGGGCCCCAAATATACACTTACAGAATCGGGTCGTATCGGGTTCGATAGGCTTGGTACAACCTGTCGGGGGGGTGCCACAACTAAAGCCCATTTATGACGCCCTCTTCAAGGGATAACAGTCGCAAGCCGTTCGAGCTTGGGATGTACTATACTCGCAAAAGGCTCGGCGGGTTGGTGTTGTGAGGGTTCGCAAGCAAGCGGTTTTTGCAAATCTTCACGGTCAGAAGTGAGGGTGTGGCAGTAAGGGCAGATTATGGAGGTGCTTCGCTTGAAGTGGGCTGTAGTGCTTTGGGTTCAGGGACTGTTTAGCGAAAACTTGATTTCTTAGGTGCGCAGGTCTAGAAATTAGGAACCCTCTTTCGTTTCAGTTCAGGGCATAGGTTGCCTCCAACGGAGATATGTCGAATTCTAGCGCATGTCCAGTGTGTGGGCGATCATCAGCAGACCGAACATGCTCCAAGACTGTTTTCCCGCGATTCGCTGCATATGCTTCCGGGAACATGGCTGCATTAGACAAGTCAAGACAATGCGCAACACAGCCGGATATATGTGCAAACAGCATATACGTATAATCACGCAAATCTCGGCAGAGGAACATGTACACGCATGTGGGTAGTGGTCAAAATTAGGGTCCCTTTCGGGATCCTTTCTTCTGGGAGTGCAGTACTTTATTGGGGAACCAACAAGGGACCCTCATTTGGAGACTTGCCCATGGGAAGTTTTTCATGCTGGTGCGCCAACACAACAGCAAGCACCACACAGCATCTTTGCATCTGCATGAACGGTTGCATACAACATGCATACTTCCGTGCGGCGCTGTGTGGATGTATGTATATTCGTAAATAGTAAGAACTGCTGACTTGGCCCTGAAGAAGGATCTGCCCAACTCAGCTTCGAGCCACTAGCAGCTTGGGCTTTCCAGCAGAACGAGCTGCCTGCAGATGCTGGGAGGCGGTTTTGCTGCTAGTGTTCGTGGTGGTGGTAGTCGTAGTCGTACAAGTAGAAGCAGCAATAGGAGCAGGAGGAGGAGGAGGAAAACTAAAAGCAGCTGCCAAAAGGGTTATGAAGCTTCCGGTGCTACTGAGGCGGCGTTGTAAGGCAAGGCTGCAGCACTTTGTCTGCTGAGGTTTGGCTTCCTGGGCAAGTACCAGGAAAAACGGGCCAATTCATACTACCTACGCCTTTGTGCCCATCAGGAGCTGGGAACCATGCCGTCCGTCTTTCCGTTCTTAACTTCTATGCGCACTAAACCCTTCGAAAAAAGCCTGCTCAGCTCGGGTCGAAAGCCCTGCCATTGAAGAAGCAGAAGCTCCCGCGATCGATCGATACCAAAATCTCGTTCTATGTATATGTATGTATGTATGTATGTATGTATGTATGTATGTATGTATGTATGTATATATATATATATACAGATATATAATAATAATAAGAAGAAGAATAATAATAAGAAGAATAAGAATAATAATAATAATAGTAATAATAATAATAATAGTAATAATAATAATAGTAATAATAATAATAGTAATAATAATAATAACAATAATAATAATAATAATAATAATAATAATAATAATAATAATAATTATATGCATATATATATATATATTTATTTATATATATATATATTATACATATATATATATATATATATATATATTATACATATATATACCATCGCCTAAACACATGTACATGGTGTATATATATATATATATATATATATATATACACATATATACTGTTCACATATTATATATACATGGTTGACAGTGGCCTGTGCCCGGAGGTTCTGCGCATTAAACATGTACAGGGCCCAGCCTCAGTCACAACAAAAACATGTGCAGGGTTGAATCATTGAAGGACGGAGGCTTTAAACTTTAGGAGGTTGTGACAACCAGCTTGGGGTTTAACAGCTTCCAGAGCCGTTGGGGCTTAGGGCACAGACTGTTTGTCGGCCGAACTGCTTTTGTTTTCACCGTTTCCGTTGCAGTCGCCTGTGAGTATGAACTCGATGTGTTGTGGGTCTTGGCATGCGCAAAGCCATGCTCCAATTGTCCAGAAACAGCAAGGCAGCACCTGGTGCATTGTGCCAAGCAGTATATGCTGGGCATGTGCCCTATCTCCATACTGCCCCAGAACTGTTAGCAAAAAATTAAAATGCTACAAACTTCCCCAAATAGAGCCCCAAAACCTCCCCTGCCCACACAAACACTCAACCATCTCAAACTTAAGCCACGGGCCGTAGTCCAGCGGAGGTCCCAGCGCAGCATAGCCTGAGCCGCTCACTCAGTCCTAATTAGGGCGTTTGGGTTCGAGGCTTCAGGGTTGTTACCAGGATGATGACGCCCAGGACTCCTTTCACTGTCCGTGCTGCTGCTGTCACGGCGAAAGCCGCTCAAGCCGTCCTCAGGAATCAAACAGCTCTGACTGCACAGACTTAGTATACGGACTTTCAGCATGCCCGTGTTTCTACTGGCGCCTCCTACAAAAGGATTGCAACTGAGGCACCTCACGGTTGAATACAGGATTAAAGCCAAAGCCTACGATCAAATTTCGGACCGTTTGGGCATGGTACACTGTAGCCACAGAAGCCTGCACAAATTTTCTGCTGCTTGAGAGACTCTGCGACCACTATTGGATATTAGGGCTTAACATGAAAGCCGTGCATTCAGGCTTCCACTTCAATGCTCCAGGACACGATCCCATAATTACTCTCGCTCGTGAAGGCTGCGAAGTGCTGAACTGTTTGATCTCTAGCAAATCTGAACAACAACAAGTCGAAACTTTAAAGCCTAAAACCCTGCGATTTCTGAAGCCTTGCGGCAAACCATAACATCTCAGCCCGCAGCGGGGGGAGAGGGGAGGGGTCTGTCGAAGGCCCACAGGCACAAAAACACCTCCGAAGTTCGAACCTCCAAAAAACAAAATGGCAACTTGACACGCTCAGCTGAAAGATTCTAACTGCCGTCACTGCAAACTCGCACCAGTACAGTTAACACCTCATCCCTCATCCCTGAAGAAACTAAATAAGATGCCACATTCTCAATCCGACAATCGCCAGGCCATGCCGAGAGTTGTGGAAGACCTGTTTCGCGCTGCTACACACTCTGCGCAGAACCCTTGAGTCTGCTGCGCTGCAATTTGGGCAAAAGTGGCCAAACTAACTTTCGAACATCCTCGGCCCAACCACCCTGGTGACAACACGCACTGCAGTGTCACTAAGAGACCGGCCGATTACCGATGGAATCTCCGCCTCGGCGCAACTCTTATCGGATATAACTCCGGCCGCTTGCCCTTCTAGGCACCGCCCAGCGATCACACCAAGTGCTAGATATTTGGGAGTTTCCGAAAATTGGGGGTACCTTATTTGGGGGTCCTTATAATAGGGCTCCTACTATTTATGGTACTATATTAGGGTCCCCCATTTTTGGAAACTCCCATTTCAGGTTTATGGGTGGTTTATGGTTTAGGGTGTACATGCACATACAGAGGCCTGCAACGCGAGATCGCACCGGTTGCACTCGAAGAACCTGCACACCCATGGTGTGCGCACATTGCTACAGGCCGGCTCCAATTGGAAAGAGCAGCTGAGCCGAACATGCTGATCTCCCTGTATCATGGCATCTCCAAACCATTTCATCCCCAGTCCCTGCCACTGATACACCCTCCACCCCACCCCTATCATAGACACGCACACGGGTGAAAGACAGAACTCAAATCCCAAGCCACAACACACCAGCCCGGCATGGTGGCCACTAGGCTGCACACCGCGGCGGCTGCGCCGATGATTGAGCCGTAGCTGTAGCCCACAATCAAGACCTTGATTGGGCTGAGGAGGCTTGATACTTACACCATCTTACACCTTCCTGTTTCGGTAGCAAGATAGAGTCAGTATACAAAACAGAACTGGATTACGACACCGCTGCATCGAGTTGGCCCCCAAACAAACCTACGCTCTCCAGGCATTGTGTCCTTAGCCTGCGCTGGAGCGTTCCGATAACCGACAAAACGTTGGCCAACGTCAACTTCGCTACCAGGACGCTGCAACTTGACTCGGTTGAAGTGGGGATCCGCGAGTGAGCGGGACAATCCTCCTTTGATAGCCAAGACATGTGCCACAATGCCGAATGGGAGCGTTAGGAGCTTTTGGACCAGTTTGGGCGGTTTGGGAAAACTGTTGCGCCCGTGATTGCCGCTTCCACATTGCCGTCAGCTCGCCTTCAGTCCATGGCCGTCACAGGTGCTTACCGACCCCTTTTTCTTACACCCTCATTTGCCTCCCGTTGGCGTTCAAGGTTCAAAGCAGCCGAACCCGGGCAGCAGGTAGGAAGTGGTTTTAACTTGATCCGAAACCCCAGGTCGTAGACAGGATGCCCCAGACTTTCAACTGGCCCAAACCCTCCAGAACCGACACAAACCCCAAAGCCTATATTTTAGCTATACAGTTAACACGACGCATAGCTAAGCATAAGCATACATCCGCAGCCAGTAGTGGCAGAGACTCCATGACCTCTCTCCGCAAGTGAGTGTCTTCACTCTCGAGCTGGTTCTGTATTAGGCAAACTCCATCCTTCAATGAGCTTTTGAAAAATCAGCATGCCGTCTTAAATCAAGCTGCAGAACCCGAATTACAGCCTACGTATATATTTGTACAAACCACGCCTCGGAACTGCAGGGAATGAAACGTATGGAAGGGCCACGAGTCGCGACGAAGGCATTGAGTTTCGGACGTTGACGTCTACATCACAAACCGCTATATTATGTAGAAGGAGGCGGGGGAGCATATTCTGCCGTTGCGTAGGAGAAGGCGCTGTTACCACGCATGGGTTCATGACTTTGGTAAGACCCCCATGTGCGTAGCCCCCTCCCTATCTTAAACCAGACTGAAAAATCCGAACTGAAATATTCTTGTTGTCTCATGTCAAAGTCACGGCGGACCCTGCATCCCAAGAGCAAAGATCAAAAAAAGGGCTCACCCCTCGGCTTGTCCCAGCGCCCAGCCCCTCAAACCCATCCCGTAAGCACGGAGTCTATAGAGAAAGAACAACACCTTGCAGCTTGACCACGTAACACATACGTGAAGTCTTGGGTGCTGAGAGTTTAGCATGAGGCTTCAGGACCTGTGGGATGCAGGCAGTTTGACTGTGGCATGCTGCTTCATTAGAGCATTGTGCTAAGACGCTGCGATGTTACGCACTGCAAGATCAAAGGTCCTCTACAACGTAAACCCAGAACATCACCGAAATGGTCCCCGAATCCCAAAATCAGCTGCACAAATGCGCCTTAAGACGAGAGGGCCCATTCGTTGACAGGACTTTGAGCAATCCACCTGGACTCAAAACCCCACCCCACCCCACCCCTCCGCTGGCTTCTTCTCAGACGGAGGCATGAGAGCAAAGGATGCGTCCGCCCGCCTGCCAGCAGTCATGATTCGTTTGGGATTATAGGTGTGTGAGAGCATGCTGAAATCGCTAATGCCCCAGTGGAGGAGTCCAGAATCGCATAAAGCAGCAAGCCAACGTGTCTGGAACTTTCCGATGGCTGCATGACTTACCTGGGATGCAGAGGTTGATATGGAAGACAACGTGGAAAAGTGTGGCAGGGAACACTCCGGCCGATCACTGGTCACCCTGACTGTCTGAACTTGAAACTCGAGAAGTCCATGCATGAAGCAAGGATCGCCTCTGGCAATGGATTCGGCTTTGTCATCCATGCCGCAACTGCCCTCAGTGCGTGTGATGCAAGGCTTGGCTGCCTGTGACATGTCAGCGTGACTCGGCAAACCATGGAAACACGGTACCTTCATCATAGTGCCTTTCACATGGCCTTAAAACCTTCTCATCTGCGCTTCTGTGCCGAGAGGAGGGAACGGGTCCTTCGGAGAATGAAACAGTTCCCGGGGCCCAGGGAGCGGACAAAGCAGCTGCCCCCCAGGCTCTTGCATGATTTGGCCAAGCATGGGCAGCAAAAGCTTAGTGTCACCCACATGCATCTGGACCGTTTACACAGGCTTGATTGGAGCTCGCATCCGGACCTGATTCGCGAATCCAGGAACAAGTCAAATCCTACTATATACCCTCTAGATTCCGACATGCTTGGTCTTATTTGAGGTCAAGCCAGTTGTGAAATCCTAAAGGTCCAAAATCCTGATCTCACCTCCAGAAAGTAGGAGGCAATCTCCGATCGTCTCGTGACAGCTCCCATGCGACAGTCGTGGCCCGAAGTCAGAAGAGACAAATATCAAAGCCCCTGGGGATCCAGGCTTTACATCCTCCACGGAGCCCGCGCCACTCCCGATGCCACCTCTGAAGTTGAACCTGCCACGTCATCGGCCATCGAAAACACAGCGCACACGCACAAACAAACACGCAAACACATCTCAATGCGCACAGCACGGGTGCAACATAAGTGTTGACTGTGATGCTCACAGTGATTACGATGGGCAGGAGAAGGAGAAACGAACATGGCAATGTCCAGGCTGGAAGCATGCGAATTCACTGCCTCAAGCTTCTACAGAAATTGTACCCAGAACCAGCACGTTGTGTGGTGTGGATCCCTCGGGAAGGCCTCACCGTAGTACATCCTGCGGTGCCAAACCTTCGGGAGCAAACAAAGTAGTCAACCTTCAGCCCATGAAGCCTCTAAGATTTGCACTATGGCTGCGTCTGTCTTGTCATTGTCTGGAGTTTTGAGGTTTGGGGATCCTAGGTCCTAGGGTCCTAGGGGGATCGTAGGGTGGCAACAGGGTGCCAGTATCTCGGCCATGACCAGGCTTCGGAGCCGGCAAGGCATCAAAGGGCTCTTCTACTCCAGGCTGAAAAAAGAAGACAACGGCGAAGTGCAACTTGGGCCAGGTTCGGATTTGAGGATGAGCGGCATGCCGTCACGCCTTGAACTCTACAGAGGAAGAAGCAGTAGCCCCTACTCTTCCATGGAGGCCCCCGCAAACCCTAGCTAACTCTACAAAGTGCTCCCTCAACTCAGCTCCGAACAGTCGGCAGACCTTGGTCCCAGGCGCGCTGGAACAAGAACCGCAGCTCATCCATCCGAGGGCACAGGGGTACCAGAAACTCGGACATCCGAAAACCCGAATCAGGGTTCCTGACTGTGTGCGGATGCGGGTCCGCCATGCTTCCGCCGAGAGGCCTGGGGAAGGTTCAAGCTGAGCGCGGCCGTTTGTGGCTGTTGGATGTGAGTCACGAAGTCTTCAAAAACCACGAATGAAACTAGTCGATTAAAGTCTGCTAAGAGCTTCCCTAAGCTCCATAGGCTCGTCTCTTGCTAGCCCCAAACATCTCCTAACCATGCGAGACAGGTACACAGAAGCCCAAACGAAGCAATTCCAATCCAGAATCGCAGCCTAGATTCAACTCGAAATCGGCCACCCTCCATTTGGTTCGGACTGGAGACATGCGCTTTAAACCCACATCCAAGCTCAACATTGCTTCCAGCAATCTTGGCACGGTGCCCCCATGGGTGCAGCGCGATCACCTGAAGTAGTTGTTATTGAGCTGAGGGGCTTCCCGGTAGACAGGGGCTTAGGAGTCAGAGTACGAGATGTGTTCGGATTTGCTTCGGGAATCTCATGTTTACTACTCTTGAAAGTCACCTTGCATCCTGGCATAGGATGATGCATTACTACCACTACCACTACCACTACCACCACTACTACTACTACTACTACTACTACTACTACTACTACTACTACTACTACTACTACTACTACTACGACTGCTACCCTGTAGAGGCTTAGGAAGAAACACTCGGGGTGTGGGATTCGGACTTCGGGCCGCCAGGCCACCGCCATGGCTCGTCTAAGTAAGCTCTATATATATAGTATACATATTATACTATATAAAAACAGATACTATATGTATATATATATATATATGTATATACATGACCTTCGAGGAACACCTCAAAGGCTTTTATTCCTCGTCAGTTGCAATCCAGACGTATCTTCTGCCATCGACCTGCAGGTCTCTCAGCGATGATCCAAACTGTGTGCCCACACCCTAACACTTCTCGTCATGGTCGTACAGATCCCGCAGCATTCGCTGCGCGCAAAGCTCTGCATGTTTCAATCGCTTATCGCAGCACCCGAGGATCCCGCGCCGATGGGGCTGTCCTGCACGACGCAGACCTGCTGGCTTGGAACCGAGTGATTGGGGGGGCAAAAGCTCGAATGATGCTGCGATGAGGGACGTGTGCTAGGATATTGGCCGAGGTGGGACATGTAGCATCAGATCTTGATGTTCAAGAAATTTGATGACCTCGCAGCGCTGGAATCAAGCACCGCTCCTCTCGGCACTTTCAGATAAGGCCAAGCTCTTTGCCCTGCTTGGGACGGTAGACCGTGTGCTTGTCTTGCAGAGAATACATTTCTTTCGACTTGCTGTCAAAGATTTGATTTCTGAAAGGAACTCATATCCCACCAAGAAACCCACATCCCAACAAGAAAACTTGAACCCGCTAACAAAAACACGCGCGCTCGAAGTGAGGACTGAGGAGGCGACCAAGGCATCCACAGAGCTATTCCCAACGGGTATGGAATGCCTCGCCTGTCTGCGCTACTGGGTGCGCTACTGGGACTCATTGAAGGACCAGAACAGTGCCTGAAGAACCAACACTAATGACTGCTGCAAAAGTTGAGGGTCGGTTAGGGTGGTTCGTGTGTTCGCCCTGGTGGGTGGGTGTGTGTGTGTGTGTGTTTTGCTCTTCAGCAGAGGTCAACGCCAACACCGAGGTTTTCATGCCAGTCGGGCACAGGAGTTTCGGGATTTGCTCAAGCGCCATCAGTTCGAAGATGTCAAACCAACTTAACTTCCGCCCACACTCTGGAGTCACAAGGGCCTCTGAAGCCAGCCTCGCCCCCGAACCTGCAACTTGGAGCCCCAGTCCGGTCCGGCCCCTAAGTAAGTCTAGATGCCGAATGCTTTCTAAAGCTGCCTGCCTCTCGAAAACTATTCCGCGTGGAAGCCGCGGAAGATGCCTTGGGACAAGCCAACTAGCATTCGGAGCTTCTGTCTTCTGCATGGCCTCGACACTGCAAGTGCTGCCACATCTTTCAGTATCGATAAACCGGAAAAGGCCTCATAGAGCCCGAACGGACAATCCGAACAGCAAAGCCGGAAATCAGCGCCTAAAGCCGTAATGCTGGGGCTGGGGACTGGAAGATTAGCGACTAAGCGTACATATTTTGATGCTACGATGTCTCGTCAGCTCGGCAGAGGGGTTAAGATAGTGACAGCTCAGACTGTATTCAGTACGCCTTTTGCACTGGCTCGGGTCTTTTCTTGGCTCCTAACTCCTGCAAGGGCTTTCGCACAGTTGGCCTTAACAGAGAGAGGAGATTTATTTCCGCGGAGCGGGCTACGGCTACACCTGAAGCAGAATGCCCGTTAGCCTCCGTCCAGCACCGTGCGTGAACCCCAAGCTGCGCCCAGACCCTCAAACCCTCAAGGGCCTATACCCGGCAGGCCTGCTCTCCCCTCTCTTCCTTCGGCTTCTTCTCTTCCTTCAGCTGTGTCTTCGGTGGCATCCTTGCGAAGCCATGGACATAGAACACGACTATGGACTCAAGAGACAATAAGGCACTTGAATAATTTTCTAGAAGATCCTCCACGAACTAAACAGGCTTCTCGGATCACCGATGCCCGTGCCATCCACCCACGTCTACGTCTAGGAAGCCCCCTTCGGTCCAGCCTGGGGTTGAGAGCCAAGGTCTTCTCTTAAGTTGTAGGAATGTAGGGCTGTCCGCAGTCAATACACCCCGAAGCCGGAAGAGTCTCTTTGTCGTTTGGAGTCGAACACAAATTCAAAACTGGTCATACCGTGCATACTCTGTAAGATGTATAATTGGAAATAAGAAGGAGCACTGGTCAGTCACGGTCGTGAGTCTGGAAGCTCAGATTCTAGAGTCTTCCCGGCCCCTAGACGAAGTGCGGGTCCTTCGCGTAGAACATCCCAATTATCACAAGCATGTGTGCAAAACTTCTTTGCTTTGACTGTTGTGATGCATCTCAGGCCTCTCTCTCATGATCCGTGATCCGAGATCAGTACAATCCGAACCCGCATGCACCAAGATAATCTGGCACTTCAACGTAACCGCGATAAGCCTTATAGACTTTATCACCCTTAAACCGTCACCACAAACCCTGAGAACCTCTTAACCCTGAGAAGCGCTTCCACAAAAGACTCCTCGGCCACGCACGGCCGGAGCGTTTTGCTATGCTGTTGCTCGTTCCTAGGCTCCTGAGTTTTGCGGGCTCTGGATTGTCTGGTAAAACCTGTGATATGATTGTCTGGTGACTGTTGCGCTGAATTTTGGATGCTTTTGCTGCTGTTGTCGTTGTTGCTGCTGCTGCTTCTGTCGTACTTGTGGTTGCACAGACGAACTAAGCCGGAGATGAGACTCCGTCAGCTTGAGGAAATCTCGACAAGCAGCATTTTGCATTGTCGCCATTGTCGCGAACTTCTGCTTTTTGGGGTCCACCTACTCTCTCTGCAACTGAAGCTCGAGGGCAGCTCCAAACGCGTCCTGTTTAGAGGTTACGGATGGGCGGTCAGGAAGAGTGTCTGAACAAAGGCAAAGCTGGCAAGTTGTGACATCCGGTAAGCTGGGGAGATAACGTTCCAAGGTTTCTGCCAGCCCATTCAATAGCGTTCAACTTTCACCTAACGCATCTCGGGCACCTCCTGACCTCGTAGCCATGACTGGCAGCTGTTCACCAGCCAAGGTTGTCTGTCGATTCATAGGATAGGAGACACTCTGGCCAACCATCACAACGGAATCTCACAGAAGGCTTACAGGTTTTGGATTTCTGGCGTAGCTGACCGTAACCACATCCCTAGACAAAGCTCTCGCCCCTGATGTCAACAATGAGTGGCACGGGCAACTGAGGACTGACATCACGAAAAAGGACTCGCTCCAGGGTTTAGACTGCAGCTGTGCTGGCCCCATGCAGGTAATTGCCTGACCTGGGGACCTTTTGGAATTCTTGTGCGAGTAGAAGAAACACAAGGAACGCAACAGAACCGAAGGCGTTTGGCAGCTTGGCCACCTGATCGGAGCTAACATGAAGGGACCCCCCACCCTAGCGAGAGAGAGATAGAGATGTGTATATATATATATATATATATATATATATATATTTATGTATGTATTTCTATATATATATATATATGTGTATATATTATATTGTATATATATATATATACAGAGCCGTATTTACGAACCCGCAATGTATAGAGCAAAGGGCTCAAGGTCGAGCTTTTCGCGACTTGCCGACGACTTTGGTGGCCGGTGTAGATGAATTCGGCGGGCACTTTGCGCAAGCTAGGAAACACGACACTGCCCCAGGAGGTGGGAGATGACGTGTCTCTGCAGCCGGGCACTTGAACCTAAACACAAACTGCGAATGTTGCAAGGGCTCGCCTTGGGGTTCCTGTGCATATATCTAATCATGTCGAGAGGTATGGTGCTCTCGATGAAAGGCGACTTCAGCTCCAACCGCGAAACCACTTAGACTACATCCTACACATAAGCTTCCTCCAAACCGCCTCCCGAAACCCTATAAATGCTAAACATCCACAACTACCGCCTGAAACCCAAAGGAGAAGTTTGGACATCCGGATTTGACAACCTACGGTTTCGGAATACATAAACAGGCCGTTGATATCCTGCTCTACTGGCTGAAAGGTGAACTGCAGTCTGTAAGTCTTCCACACTCCTCAAGACATCAGCCGGCCGGCATGAGCACCCGAGCAAGGAATCACACAGCTGATCTCAGGGCCTCAACCCTCAAAATGTGGACCCCGACGTTCAGACTGCGACTGCCACTGTCTAGGCACAGGTTCGCTGCAGCACGCGGATTCTCGCTTTGCAAAGCTCTATGTAGAGCTTGCAGGATTCAGGCTCAAGGCTTAAAGCTTGCTGGCCTGGGGTTTGGGCCTAGAGATTAGCCAAAGAAGCCAAGGCCAAAACAAGTGTTGAGCTCGGTGGGTCGTAGGAAATTACCTGGACCTATATGAGCTCTTCACTCAAACCTGCATCCTGCATGCTTGACGACGCGAGGCGAAAATGCAACCTTTTCAGGTAGTCGAGTGACCATAGTAAAGCCATGCAGCACTAGTCTTCAAGAACGCAGACGTTTACGAATCATCATCCTCTTCTACAACAGCTATAAAACCGACTGTCGCAAGCAGCAGGACTATTTCACCTCAGCCTGGGCCGGATTCAAACTCAGAATCAGCCGACAGGACTTGGGCCAAGGTGTTCTCCTATAGTGCCTGCGACAGAAGAGCGCCGGGTTACTTAAGGGATTCCGGTATGTTTCGATTCTCATAAGTTAGACTCATAAGCTTCATCTGAAACAGAAACAAACCACGACACCAGGTCAACACCTGCTGCACAACACCCTCTAACTGCCATGCAGTGGCTGCCCAAGCGCTTTGAAGCCAGATTGAACTTCTTTCAGAGTGAGGCCGGATTCTCCGGCCTCTCAAAACAGGAGATGCCTATCGTTCGTACACGAGTTGTATTCGCTTCTTCAAAAAAGTTATTACCAGTTCTGCTGTAAACAGTATCAAAATCACGAAGCATGACCTCAGGAACAATCAGCAGCAACGAAGCCAACCCAAACCAACAGCAGTAGCAAGAACCAAGGGACATCCAATGACAATCCAAGATCCGAAACCTTTTGGGCCCCTCCCCCCTTAGAGATCCTTCACCAGCCCCAAACACCGAGGGTTTCGGGTTTAGGGTTCAGTACCAGCGCAAAGCATTTCGGCTGCTGTGAATAACAGCACGTTCTTGCATGGATAAACAAAATCGATCCAGGGAGCAGTGTATGCAAGATCAACTATCGATAGTCTACTAATATACTGTGGAATGGGGGGGAGGGGGTGAGGGGGGGAGGGTTCGGTCGATAAGGCTGTAAATCAGACCCTCAACCCTATAAGCCCTACAAATCGTTTGCGGCCCTGCATAAACCCCACATGCATCAACCCTCTCTAAACCCTATCTGAGCCCTACACCTTACACCTCACCCTTCAAGTCCAGTTCCAGGAAGCTCTGGAGGCCCTGAAACTGAAACACCTCCGAGGCCTCTGACGATTGAGGCTGAACTCTCAGAAGTTGGAGTGTCGGGTGATGAAGCAGTTGAGGGTTGCAGGCTTCAGGGGCCGAGGCTTGAGGCTTTGCATCTTCGGCAGAGCCTCTCAGAATAGAATCTGGGCGAACGGAAAAAAGCAAAAACACATAATCTTTTGCGAACCAGAGATCCAGGAATCCGAGGCCCTATGTTCCTACGCCTCAAATCCAAGCCCTATGTTCCTTTCCTACGCCTCAAAGCTCAAAGCCGACGTCCGTTGCATCGTGTCCCGTCCTCTGTGATGGCGAAGGCTCTACCTGGACGGGATGGAGGCCGGCATCGAAGAATGTACCTGTGCCCATTCTTGTCATCTCTAGCACTCTACGAAGAGAAAACGGTTATAAGTTGGGTTCCTGAAGAAGGTGCGAAGCAATGGTACACTAAGAAGCAGCTTGAAGGGCATAACTTTCTGATTTCTCAGTCAAGCCAGATTCTTGCGATTCTTGCGGGTGATACGGAGCGAAGTTGAGGACATTAAGCGCATAAGTTCCAAGCCGGCCGCTGGCGGCCAATCATCAGTGCATACGGCAGGTAAGAGCCAGAGACGCCTTTCGCTTTCTGACTCTGTAGAAACCACTGATACAACCTTCCTGTGCAAGCTATCGCGATCTCAAAAAGTCAAGGAAGTTCTTGAGGTAGTGGTGCGGTGAGCCGCCAATTCAAGTCACTCCCTATCCATCTCTTGTCGTCCGAGCATCACGCTTGGAAGCAAAGATCCTGAGGATCCCTGCTTAGTCGAGCAGCAGCTCAACAACCAGAACAAACCGTAAGAAGTGACGGCCAGGCTGAGGAGCACGATTGCCTCCCTGACAGGTGCTTCGCCACAACTCGTCGTCCCAAGGGCCAGGCCAAGCCACGCGCAGCTAACATACTCGATGAAGCGCACCGTTGCCAAACCCCGCAGCCACCAAACCCACCGCGGGGCGTCTTTTGCATCGTCCGCAAGCGCATCGTGGAGCAGTGCTATGGGCACAAAGGCGAAGCCGAGGAAGCAGAAGAGCGGCCAGTCGTAACGCGGCACAATTAGCATCAGCTGACGATAAACGCGCCGCGGCTACGTAGGCCACCAAGAGGCCGGCAATAGCCACGAGGATCCCAAAGGGCCGTGGCCCAGCAGAGAAAGCCATGGCCCAGGCCCCCGACCGGCAGCCGACGTCGAGAGCCAGATAGACGCCGCTCAGGCACCGCCGCACGAAGCGGCCTTCGAGATGGTTCAAGACTGCTTTTTGCCCAATCCAAACGGGATTCGAGGGGTCGGAGAGGCCCCAGCCGATAGCCGCCAACGAGATGGCGAGGCTCATCTGCTTGAGGACATCGGTGTGCGCTCCTACGATGTAGATGACATAGGCCTGTAAGAATGTCTGCGGGGCGCTCTCGCAGATTTTGGCAGCCAGGTCTTTGTAGACTGCAGATCTAGGCTTCTTGTCGGACTCGCTGGCCTCCCCATTCATGGATTTGTAGAGGTCAACAAATGGCGACAGTTGCAAAAATGCTATGACAAAATCCACAACAGATCCAGATCTGCTCACAACAGATCCAGATCTGCTCACCACCGTCCACATAAATGCTTGGACGCAGTTCGCCGGAATGAGGATCGTTAGGGAGATCCCCAGCCACCAGTAGTGGGGGGTGCAGGCTGGGGCAGCTCGGGTCATCTCTGCACCGTCGGTGAGATTCTGCGTGCTGTTGACCTGCAATACATCCTCTCCGCAGGCTGCTTCCAGGCTATTGGAGATGACGCAGCCGTACTCCAAGGTCACCAATACGTCCGAGTAGAAGTCAGCCAGGTTGAGCAGTGCCGAGAAGGCAAGGCCGAGGACCATCTTCTGGTGGGCAGACAGCATCATGCGACAAGGGGCAACGGGTCCAAAGGCTTGTCAGAGGCGACTGTGCCTTGAGCAGCAGCGGCCTGGGGCTGCAAGCTGTGGCTCGGCGCAACGAGCTCGGAACGCAGCTCTCGTTGACTGCATGGTCTCATTTCAGCCTACCGTCTTCTTGCGTAGTGTACACCTGAGTATTATGCTACTTTCAACTGCGTTATATGAGTATACGGTACATATACGCTGCTGCATGTGCATTGCTTTCACTCCCAAGCCCAACTTCTCCACGAGGCACGTGAAGGCACCGGCGGAAGCCGGAAGTCGCGTTCGCGGAGCTGCGCTCTGCAGCCGAGGCCTCGAGAGCTCATCGGGTATGGAAGGGGCCTTGCGGATGGTTTCTATACACGTCTTCTTGTCATCCTCAAGGGGGAGATAATTAGGACCATTTATGTCTGGTGCGTGAAGCTTTGGACCCCTACGTATAGAACGACGTACATGAGCACTTACCTGGCATGATCCAGGCTGTTTGGCTTTTAAAACTTGTTGAAGGCCCGATCGTGCTTTGACTCATATTAGTCTAGGTTGAGCTCTAATTAACTTTGAGGCATTCATACTGGTCTTGATTTGGATATCTGACCTTATTTACACATAGGTCACCAGCCGTAGGACTAGGCTGAGTTCATAGGGACCGCTGTAGTACTACTTGGCTAAGTGTAAAGTGGCATTAGGCCTGGCGAAGCGTCGCCAGGAACACTGGAATCAGGAGAGGCATTGGGTGTCGAGGCAGGCTCAACAGTTCCCACGCCTGATCCCTTAACAGCGATCGAGCAAAAGCGGAGATCGAACTATACTTCGTAGCAGACCTTCGGCTTGACGCTGAGGCTCTCCGTTTAGAAGCGGAGTGCAATGAAGCGGCGCTTGGTGATACCGCTGTCATTTTTTGAAGTGAACCTAGCTACTTGTATGAGGCGTTGTTGGGCACTCAAGGTATTCCTGAGGAGACTCCCCGAGTTGCACGGGTTGAGGCGTCAGCTGGGGAGCAAGTTTTGCCACATCAAAGAACAGGGCGCCCTTAAACCAGTTTCGTCACCCAGTGGAAAAGGGCGAGGAACACGTGGGGGCTGTACTGGGCTTGAGCGGCGGTGCCAGATCTGACCTGCCGGTTGCGTCCGGGGCTGGACCCGTTTTTAGTAGCGACACGACGTCTGTTCCGCTGGATTCTTCCGGGGCTGCACCTGATGGCCCGCCGGGTTTTGATGGCGCTGGATATGATGACCCAGGCTGAGCTGATTCCTGCTGCCGAAGAGGGAAGGCTCCAGAAAATGGAGATGCTACTAGCCCAAGTCTTGGAAGTTGCTTAAGAAGAAGCCCTCTGCAGAGTCCCAGTCTTCGTGGTACAGTCAGAGAACGGTACCGGGGGATGGACTGGGCCAGTGCTCTCCTGCTTCTTTTGCCCACGGCTATGATCGTTTTCAGGTACGTGATTTCGCAAGTGATTACTTTGATCCTACGGTTGGTCCCCGAGCTGCCCACAGACCCTCAAACCCTTAAGGGCCTATACCGGGCAGGCCTCCTCTCGCCTCTCTTCCTTCAGCCGAGTCTTCGGTGGCATCCTTGCGAAGCCATATAGACATGGAAGACGACTATGGACTGTGAGTCTTCGTCTCAAGAGACAATAAGGCACTTGAATAATTTCTAGAAGATCCTCCACGAACTAAACAGGCTTCAGATCACCGACGCCCGTGCCATCCACCCACGTCTACGTCTAGGAAGCCCCCTTCGGTCCAGCCTAGGGCTGAGAGCCTAGGTCTTCTATTAAGTTGTGGGGAATGGAGGGCTGTCCGCAGTCAATACACCCCGAAGCCGGAAGAGTCTCTTTGTCGTTTGGAGTCGAACACTATTTCAAAACCTGGTCATACCATGCATACTCTGTAAGATGTATGAATTGGAACTAAGAAGGAGCACTGGTCAGTCACAGTCGTGAGTCTGGAGGCTCAGATTTTGGAGTCTTCCCGGCCCCTAGACGAAGTGCGGGTCCTTCGCCTAGAACATCCCAATTATCACAAGCATGTGTGCAAAACTTCTGTCTGCGCTTTGCTTTGACTGTTGTGATGCATCTCAGGCCTCTCTCTCATGATCCGTGATCCGAGACCAGTACAATCCGAACCCGCATGCACCAAGATAATCTGGCACTTCAACGTAACCGCGATAAGCCTTATAGACTTTATTACCCTTGAAGCGTCACCACAAGCCCTGAGAACCTCTTAACCCTGAGAATCGCTTCCGCAAAAGACTCCTCGGCCACTCGCGGCCGGAGCGTTTTGGTATGCTTTTGCTCGTTCCTAGGCTCCTGAGTTTGGCGGGCTCTGGATTGTCTGGTAAAACCTGTGATCTGATAGTCTGGTGACCGTTGCGCTGAATTTTGGATGCTCGATCTGCTGTTGTCGTTGTTGCTGCCGCCGCTGCTGCTGCTGCTGCTTCTGTCGTACTTGTGGTTGCACAGCCGAACTAAGCCGGAGATGAGACTCCGTCAGCTTGAGGAAGTCTCGAAAAGCAGCAATTTGCATTGTCGCGAACTTCTGCTATATGGGGTCCACCTACTCTCTATGCGACCGAAAGCCTCCCTGGCAGCTCCAAACGTGTCCTGTTTAGAGGTTACGGATGGGCGGGTCAGGAAGAGTGTCTGAACAAAGGCAAAGCTGACAAGTTGTGACATCCGGTAAGCTGGAAGGTAAGGTTCCAAGGTTTCTGCCAGCCCATTGAATAGCGTCAAACTTTCACCTAACACATCTCGGGCACCGCTGACCTCGTAGCCATGACTCGCAGCTGTTCACCAGCCAAGGTTGTCTGTCAATTCATAGGATAGGAGACACTCTGGCCAACCATCACAACGGAATCTCACAGCAAGCTTACAGGTTTTGGATTTCTGGCGTAGCTGACCGTAACCACATCCCTAGACAAAGCTCTCGCCCCTGATGTCAACACTGAGTGGCACGGGCAACTGAGGACTGACATCACGAAAAAGGACTCGCTCCAGGGTTTAGACTGCAGCTGTGCTGGCCCCATGCAGGTAATTGCCTGGCCTGGGGACCTTTTGAATTTTGGAATTTGCGAGAGGTGGAAGAAACACAAGGAACACGAGGAACCCAAGAGATCCGTCAACCTGATCGGAGCTAAAGTGAAAGGACCCCCCACTGTAGAGACAGAGAGAGAGATAGAGAGAGAGAGAGAGAGAGAGAGAGACAGAGAGAGAGAGAGAGAGAGATATATATATATATATAGATTAATCGGTAGATAGTTATATATATATATATATATATATATATATATATATATACTCGATACCCCGGAAAAAGCACGAACACGCCGGTGGGAGCGATGTTTTGAAGGGGATGGTCTGTCATGGGGGGGGTGACCATATATATATATATATATATATATATATATATATACATATATATATATATATAGCCGTATTTACAAACCCGCAATGAATTGAGAAAAGGGCTCAAGGTCGAGCTTTTCGCGACTTGCCGACGACTTTCGTGGCCGGGGTAGATGAATTCGGCGGGCACTTTGCGCAAGCTAGGAAACACGACACTGCCCCAGGAGGTGGGAGATGATGTGTCTCTGCAGCCGGGCACTTGAACCTAAACACAAACTGCGAATGTTGCAAGGGCTCGCCTTGGAGTTCCTGTGCATATATCTAATCATGACGAGAGGCATGGTGCTCTAGATGAAAGACGACTTCAGCTCCAACCGCGAAACAACTTAGATTACATCCTACACATAAGCTTCCTCCAAACCGCCTCCCTAAACCCTATAAATGCTAAATATCCACAACTACCGCCTGAAACCCAAAGGAGAAGTTTGGACATCTGGATTTGGGAAACTCTGACATGTACGATTTCAGAAAAAATAGACAGGCCGCTAGGATTCGGATGATATTGATATCCTGCTCTACTGGAAGAGGGTGAACTGCAGTCTGTAAGTCTTCCACACTTCTCAAGACATCAGCCGGCCGGCATGAGCACCCGAGCAAGGAATCACACAGCTGATCTCAGGGCCTCAATCCTCAGAATGTCATAATGTGGACCCGGCACAGGTTCGCTGCAGCACGCGGATTCTCGCTTTGGGCAGCTCTATGTAGAGCTTGCAGGATTCAGGCTCAAGGCTTAGAGCTTGCTGGCCTCGGGTTTGGGCCTAGAGCTTAGACAAAGAAGCCAAGGCTAAAACAAGTGTTGAGCTCGGTGGGTCGTAGGAAATTACCTGGATCTTTCAAGTAGTCCAGTGACCATAGTAAAGCCATGCAGCACTAGTCTTCAAGAAAGCAGACGTTTACGAATCATCATCGCATCTACAATATCAATAAAACCTACTATCGCAAGCAGCAGGACTATTTCACCTCAGCCTGGGCCGGAATCAAACTCAGAATCAGCCGACAGGACTTGGGCCAAGGTTTTCTCCAACAGTGCCTTCGACAGAAGAGCGCCGGGTTAGTTAAGGGATTCCGGTATGTTTCGATTCTCATAAGTTAGACTCATCAGCTGCATCTCAAACAGAACTTCTAGAGGACCAATAGATTTCCCATGGCCTTGCACATGCCTTCAGGACCTTCAAGCAACACCACTATCCTCTCCCGGCAGTGGCAAACGAAACACACAATCCATAAGCTGGACAGCCGAAACCTAAGACTCCCCAGAAACGAAAGTATTTATACTGGAGCTCTGCAGTTGACACTTGGGTCGAAAAGGGTCCTGAGGATGACCAAAACTTAGCGGCCAAAAGAGCCCGATGCCTAAAACCCAAGTCCTGTGAACCCGGAACCTTTCAGGGGGCAAGCTTCCTACCAAGATCTTTTGCACTTTCCCAATCGCTATTCATTGAACCCGTGGAGAAGCTGCTACAAGTACTGCCGAGACCCAGAGTAAGATCCCCTGAACTTCCAAACCCAGAAACCCTGCCCGTGAACTTGCCAACCAGACATTCCACAAAATACTTTATAAAGGGCCAAAGAAAGCTTACCAGTACCCTCAACCCTAAACTACCTCGGTGAGCTTGTCCCGAGCCCGCTGGGCGACTGCCGCAGCTGAGCGCGGATTGACGCCCTCGGGGACGTGGGCTCGAGTTCTACAGTGTTAACGCGGCCACCGTAGTATCATAAGCAGTAGTAAGGCTAGTAGTCGCGATAATGATAAAGACAGCAACAACTATAGCTACGTACAAGAGCTTTGGGTTTTAGAGGCTTCGGTTTCAAAGGTTCGCGTCGAGTCGCAGGGCCTCAGTGTTCCAGCAAACAGAGTGACGCCCATTTCCGGGTCTCGGGGTTTCAGACCGCATGGAATTGCGGCAATGATCAGCACACACGCAGCTTGATAGTTTTAATCTGTTCACAACCAGGTTGCCAGCATGTAATGCACACTGACCGCGAAGCCGCTACGAGTGCTGACAAGGATGAAGAAGACGATGGGACAATAGCAATATAAGTTCAGAGTACGATGCTCCGGACCCGTCAGGGCCAGGGTGCAAGTGCAGGTAACATATCAGTTCTTCGCTATCCGGAACGATCCAGCACTTCCTCAGCGCTGCATCGCCACTATCTTGATTTTGCACGTTTGCCGGCTCCAACTGCAGACCCATGGGCACTGGATCTGCAACTTCTGAAAAGGGTTTCACATTCGACGATGAGACAACCGCAGAAGCCCACTCAACGATGCTTGATACTGCTATGTACTATGATGTTGCATTTGGCCTAACCGAATATCGGTAGCCAGGCTTCTAGGGCATCTTCACCAAACAATTTCTAGTCCGGTGAACTGGGAGGGCGACTTTGCTCCCAGCTTATGCCGGAAAGGTGGGAAAGGAAGAGTCCAGGCACACAGCAGGGTTCAGAGATCTCCATCGTGGATTCTTTGGGCATTCGGCCTAAGATAGAATCAACTCTCTGGGTCTGCTGCTAGCTCGTGTAGACACTATTTCAGCTGTCTATAAAGATGTCTGAGACTTTTGAAATAGGCGGTTCGTGCCATGCTTCAGGATTGATGAAACCTGTGCTGAACATGCAGAAACAAGCCATGCTGTAGTTGCGTGCAAGGAAGTTGGAACCCTGCACGATGCCGAATCTTCAGCTGGATACTCATACTCAGCCACTACAAGGCTCTATTGAAACTTCGACCTGCAAGCACATTGGCTTCCAGAAGCCAGGAAACGTACACGAGATCCATAAACGGCAGCTCATCCTCTTATCGCAGAGATGACTATGCAAAGGCCTCCGGTACCAGTAGCTGTAGATGAAACACCAACTGAAAGCTGTTTGTGGACGACCACTTGATGCGTGGACACTGCTAGACCTACGCAACAGTCGCACCAGCCTCGCAGCCTCATCATCGGAACAGAATCCAGAGCAGGGTCACCAGAACCAAACCTGCAGTCCGCGAAATCAAACATCATGATAGGAAGACCAGACAAAAGACATGCACACGTACGGTGGCCCCTTTGAGGCCAGATGCCGATGATGAAGGCCCATCCTCAGTTCGGGCAAGCAGGGGAGACGCACGCGGCTTATGTTGACATGAATCCTGCCCAACGCAGGTCTCAGCAAAAAGTGGCATACAGGTGATTACGCTTGGGCAGGCGGACCTCGCAAACACAAAGGCTTGCAACCATGCCAAAGACCTACACCTGACGGTGCCGCAAGTTCTACTGTATCCAGCGAAGTGGCGGAAGACGATATCCACCTGCATACACCAAGCAAAAAATCGCAGTGTACAGACCCCGACCGCAGTATCGATACCACTGCTACTATTACTACGGATGACACAAAACTTATTCGCAGCATCAGCGGAACGCCAAAACGCACACGAGATTACTGTATACGAGAACACAGCGTACCTCCACTTGCGCATTGCTTCTGACGCCGGTGCCAGCCTGATCGGCCGGCTCCCTCTCCCAAAATGTAAGTTTGAAAGCATTCCTCAGCTGCAACGAGCAAGACAGGCGCAAGTTCGAGTTGTTTCGACTGTGTAGTATGACCAGCTTGGGAAGTGATAGTTTCCGAGCCTGCAATTGCCAGAAGCTCTCAGTCTCAATTCATCATGAGGCCAGGAGTCTTTCCCGGCATGTAGTCATCAATGTCCTTTAGCATCCGGTGGAAGTCTTCTTTTTTCATTCGATGCCTGCCGTGGGAAGTATGCCACCGGGAAGTGTGCAACGGAATCAGGATTCCAGCTCCTTTCAGATATGCATACGTTTAGCAATCTTGAGTCGTGAGAAGGGCATCGGGAGGCTGACTGTGTGAGGCATAAGCAATGCAGGCTCAGCGTGGCTCAGCTTTGGAACGCGGAGTTCCCAGCAGTTTCCAAACCATGCATCGAATGCCGCAACAGTCAACAGATTTCTGGGCAATCCTAGGCAATCAGCATGGAAAATACAAAATCTCATCTGCCCGCTTCATGTATTCAGCGAGTACATACCCGAAGCATCTTACCCCCCCTCCCCCAGCAACAGCAATCTACAATCTAATCAGCCCAAAAGCGCCAACACCCAGATTTTGTCCTTCAGAAAATGCAGGAATTGAAACCTAACATTTCTCCAACCCCCAGTGTATGATGAGCAGATGGCCCTTCCACACCCAGCTTGACGAAGGTCTCTTTGACTTGGTCCAGGGAGAAGTGCCTCCCAAAAGGAGTTGGAGAACACATTAGGCCGGCACGGATAGGGATTGCATCGCGGGAGCGCAGGGTTGGTGTAGGATGTGCGTCCAACACGGCCTGCATCTTGGCTGACATCCGAAGCCCGAGTCGATGACTATCTTAAGCAGGAACCTTATCCGAATGTCAAAACTTTTATCAACAAGTCTGTGCAGTCCATCACCACCAAGCCGGAAATGTCGAATGCTGCAGGGTTTCGGGTTGGTTGAGGCCCCAAGCATACCTACATACACCTTTTACACTCCAAGGCCGAAACCTCACACCCCAAACCCCTGCCCGTAAAGGCAAAAAGTTCTTCAACTGTTCACATACATGCACCACGCACGTGCACGATAACATGTGCCAGTGAAGGGTATGCATCCAACTTCGCGTAAGTCTAGAGCCACAGCCCCAAAGTCAAAGGTGTTTCCAAGGGATGTGCAGAGTGCAGGTCATCTCCGGCTGAGACAACCTCTCAACCACCAATGTGTTGAACCCCACTTTCCAGATCTACCAGGCAAGCCGACTCCCTGTCATAACCCCAATGTCAACGGTGTGAGATTTGGGTCCTCACGGTTTCTGCACGCGCTGTAGTTGCCTATTCGAAGTGCTCTGAACATACAAACTATGAACAGAGTTCTACTATGTATAACCCAAACCACGACACCAGGTCAACACCTGCTGCACAACACCCTCTAACTGCCATACAGTGGCTGCCCAAGCGCTTTGAAGCCAGATTGAACTTCTTTCAGAGTGAGCCCGGATTCTCCATCCTCTCCAAACAGATGCCTATCGTTCGTACACGAGTTGCACTCGCTTGTTCAACAAGGTCACTACCAGTTCGGCTGTAAGCAGTATCAAAAATCACGAAGCATGACCTGAGGAACAATCAGCAGCAACGAAGCCAACCAAAACCAACAGCAGTAGCAAGAACCATCCAACAACAATCCAAGATCCGAAACCTTAAAACCGCACAGGCCTCCTACAATGCTAGATTTTGAAACCTCCTACCCTCAAAAGCGATCAAACCCCACACAGGTGCTGAACCACTCTCAGGAAGGAGTTAGCTGCCAGATTAAGCTTGAGGATCGCAGCCTCATGGCCCTCAGGGGTCAAAATGCTAGCTATACGTTTTTTGCCTCCTACTTAGCAAGGACGAGGTATCAACAACCTCAACCGGGATACAGGCACCCCTGAACCCCCAAATCCCAAATCAGTCTTGACTTAGCTACCGTATGCATTGAACTCCGCTACCTCAAAACTTCAAAGCCCCAAAATCGAACAGCAAACGGCCCAGTCCGAGTCGAACAGCTTGTAAACATAGGCCACTGCTGCATCCGTCTTTTGGATGTCTTCCATTGAGATGCTAACCTGCTTTCTCGCTGGGACTAACTGCTCTTCACATCTCGACTCAATCTCCTCCTCTTAGCATCTGAACCGTACTCTGATGAAGTGACATCATGTCTCTACTGGGTCATAGGCGCATCACATATCCACATATCGAGACCTGCATATCTAGTTCCCGCCCTGCCCGCTATGAAGACGACTGCTGCAACTGAGGCACCGCTCCTGTTTGTGCTGCTCCTCCTCTGCCTGCCTGCTCCTACTTGCCACTTCACCTCTCTCTGCTGCTACTGCTGCTGTCGCTTTATGCTGCTGTACTGTACTTACGACTGCTACTACTGCTCCTCCTGTCCTCCTACTGCTCCTACTCCTACTCCTGCTAGTCCCCAGTGCTCTAGTCCCCCAGTCCCTAGTCCCCTAATCCCCTACAGTACTCCCCTAGTCCTACTACTCCTCCTCATGCAGCACACTGAAGTAAGAGTCAAAAAAAAGCTAAACACAACAACCGAGGCCTCCTGCTCCTCAGCTCGCTTATGTGCGTCGGCTGTCAAGCGCTTGAATGCCTGAGACTGCTTGCAAAGAGCGGGTTTCGGGGCCTGGAACCTACTATTCCCTTGAGTTCGGACGGTCTTACACTGGCTCAGCGCTGTTTGTAAGTGTGGCTTCAGGGCCCAAAGGACGTGTGCATCCTTTCATGGTCAGTGCTTCTCTTGCAACCGAAGCACTTCGAACTTGCGAATCTTGCGGGCTTCCACCTGCATCAGTACAGACACCACGCCATATTCGAAGACCGTGGACATTGTGAACCTCAGATGCTCAGCTGGTGCGGTTTTCTTGCAAGTCTTCGCTGCTGCAATAGGCTACAATCACAATGCCAAGAGCGATTTGCAGGAGCGCAGCAATGTCATCGACACAAGGAAGCTCGTAAGCCAGGTTAGGTAGCTGAGCGCAGGCCTGACAGGACAAGATCGCACGATTCCCAAGCTACGAGCTCCGGGCGGCTACTGCGGCACGATCTGTCATGAACTCAACAGGTGCTGCCACTCTACACAAGGCTGCAGTGACGGGCTGTCGCAACGTCAGCCACATCCGAACGCAGGTTGAAAGCTGAGGCAATGACAGCTGATTTGTGACCTGAAGCAGCAGTCCGTAGACTTTCCAGAACATGCCGGTCGTGTAGAGGACAAATCCAATCTTTCACCGGTTTACAGGCAATGATTCCGGAGATGCTTTTACCATATCGCCTGCCGTTGAGCCAAGAAGTGCGCTGGAAGCCACGAAACCCCACGAACAATGCCAGAAAACCATCCAACGCCTCAAACTCCTCAGAATATGGCAGCACAGTGAGGCCTCAAGATGAATAAGTGGACTTTGGAGATTTTCGAAATGTTGCCAGACCTTGTCGGCCTCCGAGCCCTAAAGGTTCTGGCGCGCATGTTCATTACGAGCACAACTTCGGTATCGATATGTCTATAACATTATCTATCTATCTGTATATCTATCTCTACCTCTATATAGTTACATATACAGAGTACATACTACGTATTTTCATATTTGTCTCATGGCTTCTTTACGACCCTTGACCCCCCAGGTGCCCCAAAGCTCGCCAAGGCACGTTGTTTTGCAAGTTCAGCATGATGAGCACCGGGATCACCGAACTCGCCACGCGAGCCGGGGCCGCAGCCTTTGGGATGAACCTCGCGACGTCTTGAGCTCATGGCTTCCGGGATCCTACAAAAACCCCTAAAAGATTCAAAGCTATATAAATCCAGGATAGCTGCCTCTGACTACTTAAGCTAAGTGCACTGATATTGGAACAGAGATTTTCAGGAACATCGACCTTCAGACGTTTTCCAGACATGAGAGGAACTCGGCAAGCAGCTTTGGGATAAAAGCATCTGGTTGGGCGTGGGTGAACAGCGCCACTTCGCACAACGGACGCCGGGGATGAAACTGCGGCAATCTGCTAATCCCTCTGCCCGGTCATGAATACCAGTTCCTAGCTGCTCGATAACACAAGAACTGACCAAGTGGTACAAGCGTTCAATACTTGCCAATTGTGTGGTCGACGAATATTGCATGCTGCTCGGAACTGGTCCATTCTTGCCGAAGCTATCCGCACACGTCCCTGTTTGTGCAGCTTCTTCGAGACTATGCTGGTTCTTTGGAGGCTAACCAGAGGCTAACGTTTATACACTTATGTATTGCGTGGACAGAAAAGAATGTCGTGGCGACCACCTTATCTTGCACTGGGTCTTTTTGGCTGCCCTTCCCGCGCACAATATGAAGTCTTAGATTGTAGATGCAATTGTGGCTCTGTGACACCAGTTGTACGTTGGTACATGTCACTACGGGCATGTACAAATAGATGTTTCCATATGTATGTAAGCACATGAGGTGTGTCCGTATGTATGTATGCATGCATGTATCATGCAGGCATGTGTGAGTCACCAGATGGATACATGTTGTGTCTCTACAAGCACAATAGCACCACCGTGCTACTTTTTTTTTGGTTCGACCTCGTGCCAGCCCGAATCTGTTCTGCGAGCCCGGAACCTTATGCCGTTTGCCCCGAAAACGTTCGCTGGGGCCACGGCAATCCCACATATGCCACCAACGAAAACCTTTTCGGGCAGGTCGAGAGGGGTTGATCCACATCACGACATGTTGCTTAATTAACGCACGGCTATGTCATTCCAGCTCAGACCTACTTCAGAATTTCAAAAGACTGGGGAGTGCGCTCGGGCTGGCAAGGTTGCACAAGGGAGTGTCCGTTCTCTTGCCTGACAAGCACCAGTTCTTCTAAACCTATAACCGAGATCGCCCAACAGCCGAAAAACATCAGACGACGCCTGTGACCTCTTGTCGCAGCCACTTGTCGGGAGTTTCACAAAAGAGGGGTCTTCATATAAACCCTAGAGGTAGTCGGATCTGTATTCTGAGAATCGGGGGCTTGAACTTCTATAGACTTGGGCCTTAATCCCAAAGTGGCCGATGTGTGCTGCACGCTTGGAGTCTCAGGACCGGAGCCTCTGTCGAGACTACGCCCTACTATCATTGCCATCATGATTATTACTAGCAAATAATAGACTTGCCACTGTTATTGATGATCGGTCCAAAGTGGTTCAGACCTAGAACAAGCTGCCAGCTGCACTGCCATCGATACCGGTGGTCTTCGTATGCCTTCCAAATACTTCTTTTCCTACTGCCCCTCCCATCCCTGAGTTAAAGCCAAGTCAGGCAAGTGACCCAATGGCCGTGCCTCGGCAGGGCTCTGCAAACGAGCCCAGGTCCACAGTCTTGTACAGAGATGTTAGCAACGTTCATCATTAAAGGCAAAAGGTGACAAGTGTAAGGCCCTGGCCGAAAACAAACATTATGAGGTTGCTGGAGCGGCGCTGCAGAGAGAGGTAGATCGTGACATACTTGTAGCCTTAAGTGCTCTGTCGAAGCGGGCCAAGGTAGATGCCAAGAAAGCCAACCACATGAGGCAAACACTATGGACCAAGCTTTGTAAGGTCATGGCCCTTGCGGTGTATACCTGTGCCGAACCACTCGGTCGTCACTTCCGACGTTACCTGACTTGGAGAATCTTAACCTTCTCCTTGGGGTTGGAGCGATCACTGTCACGGGAGCCAAATCATCTGCGAAAACTGTGCAAACATCCCTCCCACAAGACTCGACGATTCAATCTCGCAAGCAGCCTCAGCAGCTGGGGGTGGACATGCAATGACCATGATTTTTACGGGGTGCCCCTTGGCTCCTGTATTGCGCATGTAGAGAACCCCTCACGATGCCTCAACAAGCTCCCACTCGATCGTGCCATCGTACCTGGGCGTTGTGTTGTTAATTTGTTCAATAGGGTTTTGTGGGTTCCAGATAAATATGTAGTTTATCTTCCCCCAAACCCTATTCTCATATCTATAGGGCAAATAAAACAGTCAAAAGTACACAAACGAACGCCTTAATGGCTCCCAGCTCTCAGAGTGAGCCTGAGGCTTGGACTGCCCTGAGCCAACTGCCTCCCCAAACCACGGAGCACGGTCCGCTTCTGACTAAAACGGACCGCCATCGATTTCAATAGGGTTGCTCTGCACGAGATATCCCCAACGGTAATGGCCTTAACTGGAAGAAGGATTCCTGTCTAGATCGAGCCTAACCTCAACACCACAAACCCCGCAGTCATAAAACTCTGAGCATGTCGGACTTAGCACCGAACAGCCACACGCAGAAGAAAGTTCAACTGGCAGCAGCAGCAACAGCAGCAGCAGTAGCCGCAGCAGTAGCAATCGCATTCGCACTGGCACTAGCATGAGCAAGAGCCCTGGCGCCAGCGTCAGCACCAGGATCAAGAGGCGTCGCAGTCGTCGTCGTGGTCGTCGTCGTAGTAGTAGTAGTAGTAGCAGTAGCAGTAGCAGTAGCAGTAGTAGCAGTAGTAGTAGTAGTAGTAGTAGTAGTAGTAGTAGTAGTAGTAGTAGCACGTGCAGTAGTAGTCGTAGTAGGAGTAGCAGCAGCAGAAGTCGTGGCCGTCGTCAGAACAAGTAGTAGCAACTGTTGTCGGAGTATGGAGATTAGCAGTAATCTGTCCAAGACTTGCAGCATGCTTGAATGGATACAGTACAAGCAATTAAGTCGTCGTCACATGAGCTAGCCGGTCACTTGAACAAGATGGTTGCTGAAAGCGGTCTCGGCGCCCTTCTGGCATTTCAACTGGGCCATCGCTGAAAGCGGAGGTATTCACCTAAGCTGCGTGTGTCACGCACCAACACATCATCCAGCCACTCAAAACCGAAAATGGGAAGCCAAGCCCACCGTCCGGTGCCGGACGTGTCCACGGCAACACGAAGATCGACCAGGCAGGTGGCAAATTCCAGGTTCCAAAGCTCTGAACAAAACAACAAGCGAAATGCGCCACAATGCGCAACACCTTACATGTTCTCTTCCTGCTGCAACGACGACAGCTACTGCAACTGCTACTGCTTCGGCGACGATGCCCATGAAGCTGCTACTGCGACTGTTGCTACTCCTACTAAGTCCTCGTGCTACTGCCATTGTAGGATTATGAGAACGACTCGTCGGTTGACACTTGCGCTGGTGACGATGTTGGTGGTATTTTTGTTGGTGACGATACAGAAGGCAATGATTCTCATGAAACTGGCGATGATAGGGCCTTTGACGGTGAAGATTCTGAAGATTGCCATCGTCGCGGTCACTTCATGATCATCATCGTTACACGGTCCTGCTTCATCTGTCAAAGCAGAATTACAAGCAGCACCAATGAACATCTTTCGGCGAATGCCTACTCGTGGTACTCTTGGCTCAGCAAGGAAGCAGTTCAAACACACCTATAGCTGCCACCCAGCCGCTTTGGAAACCTCCCAAGAGTACGATCCAATGAGAATGAAGCATCGCTGTGTGTCGAAAGGCAGGCGATGAAAGCCTCGAAGGGGCTGCTTGGGGCGATACCCGCGTGAGGGTCTGCACGGGGTTTTTTACCATGGAGCGATCTCGAGTTGACCTACTACAGACAAGACACTTTTTAAAACTTTGCGAACTCTGGACCCAACCTTTCTGCAAAGCAGCGAGGCCCTGCAGCGAATCCACCGTACAAAATCAAGCTTGCGACCTGAAATCGCCGAACCCTGCAGAAGCGTCACTTGAACAGTCTTTGTAGCACCAACTTACACTACCGAGTAGTACAGCTCCCCGAACATCGACCCAACATGACGCAAAGTACAGATAATTTCAAAAAAAAATCAGACAACAACTTGCAGAACTCCGCGCAGAACTTGCATGGAGGCCCTGTAACCACCTCCTGTTGATGCCCAGATGCTCATTGGACAACGCATCAGGTGGTTGAAGCCTCGGTCGTTAGCTGCGAACCGGCTCGTTGAGGCCTACTTCTGAAAATGCGACCATCGGAGCTTCTTGTGGCTTTACGTTGAAATTGCCGCGACTGTGTAAAAAACAATGAGTCTTTTCTCTTGCATCTGCTTCCCAGACATCGACTCCCTGCAACCTCAAGATCTCGACGTGAATATGAAGCTCCACCGCGAGAGTCCCACAAAAAATCCCTTCCCACCCACAAACCGACATGACGCAGCACAAACCCTTCGATAAACATACCGCGAAAAAAACGTCTGATAACGCTCCTGTACGACCACCAGCACTTTCAAACACCTTTCGGGGGTTTGTCGCATTTGTACTCTCGCGGGTTCAAACCTCCCTGCTAGATACCGAACTGTTTGCGGGTCCACGTGTTTGACATCCTGGCATGTGCCTGCGGCTGCGTGGCGCACCGATCTCCACACGCGTGCATCAGGATAGATGCGCATTGAACCCACGCCATACCATTCCCGAATGGAATTGTCCTGGGATCGCTGTCCGGCCAACAGTATGTACATCTAGGAGGACTCCGAAAGCCACAGACCCAAAGCTTGAATCCCAAGAGCTACACTCCCGACCCCCAGTCTCCGCCCCTGCAACAACCCCAAGGCCAAGATCGACTGCTCACCATGCGGGGTAGTTCAGCAAAGAGGAGCAAGATTCTATTTTCTAGCAAGCAGCGCATTCGATGATATATATATATATATAGAGAGAGAGAGAGAGAGTATATGACGTAATTACATAATATGAGTATTGATACTCATAGTAATATACGCAGATGCATACGTGAAATACATAAACCCACAACATGGACAAAGCTGGGATCCTGCGTTCTGGCTTTTCATCAACCGGTGCTGCTACGCAAACAAAGCAGCTTAAAGACCGGAATACTTTGGTAGAATTTCGTTCGTATTGCAGTTCATGGTATGGGTCACTGCTTCTCGGTTGCATCATCCCAATAGAGCTGAGGCTGTTCTGACCCTGTACGACTAAAACATTCCACGCGGCGAAATAGATGTCGGGCTGCCAAACTCCGCGTACTGGGAGGTCCAGAGTTATCGCGTCTTCGCAATCACCTACGGTGCAGCTTAGAGCTTCGGCACTCACACTGGGACTCTCCAGGCGGGGCATGTCCACAATGGTCGGATTGAGCAGAGGTGATGCTGGAGACCTCGATTTAGCCCCGAGATTTCTGATGATGCCCCATGTCCAAGAATGGAAAGGAGCTGAAAGGTCTCAGGCTGACGAAACGGTAGTACCACGGATATGTAACGCCATGGAAAGCAAAATCCATCACACGCTACATCGAACTTCGCGCCGCCTCCTTCCATACATGCACTGCAAATTCACGCAACCGAGCTTGAACCATAGAGCACCAACTCGAAGTGAAGACCCCAAATGTCAACGCTTATGGCGAACATTGAAACTGACACTGGCACCCGATTCCCACGTCACCTGCGTTGCTGAAGTTAGAGCCCTCAACTTCAAATCGAAAACACCAAGACTAGCCCAGCCCCTTGACCCCCTCTACCAATCCCACCAAATCGCCTACACCTGCGGACGAGTTCAAGCGCTCATCGCTCCACTCTTGTCGAAAGTACCTGCCGGGGCTACTATGCACTAATGTAGGGATCACGCTGCTGGCTATGGGTAAGTTAGCACCCCAACTGTCGATCCTCAGTAGCAAGAACCTCTTCCCCGAGAATCACCAAACCGAGCATGTACACCCTCAGCTTGAACCCGATTAACTATAATCCCTCAAAGCACTCTCTCTGGATGAGGAGCCTGGGTTTGGCAAGGTTGTGGCTGGGTGTTGATTCAAGGCTCTGGGTTGAGACGAGGAGGCTTTGGGTTAAGGCTCCTTGTCTCTTGGGATATTTCGGGTTAAACATACCATTAATGAACCTACCAAGCATTCGTTGGAGTTGCAGGCTTCGAACCCGTGGAGACATGCAAACTTCCGGTTTGGGACAGCTCTGCACATGGCACTTGGTTGTGGGGCTTCCGTTTGGAATATTTGGTGTAAAGGCTTGGGGCTTCTCTGTTTGGGTGCAAGCGCGTGGTTTTCGACTCTCTGTGACCTCATGCGTGCTGGGTTTCGCAGCTTTGCTGCATGCTGTAAGCTGCATCGGCCAGGAAAGGCACAAAAACAACCGATCAGGGTATAAGGCCCCGACAGACATTTTCTCATGCATCTCTGTCAGGGCTCATGGTGGAGTCAAGACAACACCCACCACCTTGGCAAAATTTGCTGGCACATGCATGCCAGACCTGCGAGTGTGTGTCCCAAACTCTCCATAACTTAACAGAGTTCAGTGAACGAGCCAGATTTTTGGCATCATGGCTACAGGTACCTACCAGTACTGTAGAACTCGCTGGTTCTCGGGTTCAGTTTGGTCAGAGCCAGAGAGCCGCTTAGAGACACACCCATGTGCCAGCTGCCTTGACGACCCCCCCCATGCACAGATGGAGGCTTTGCGGACATGGAAACTGAAAGGCAATGTGGCAATGTTGGGTCGCCTTTGAAACTAGACCTAGGGGCCTAGGGTGATAGCACGTTTGCGCGACGTGCGCATGTTGTGCGCGACCATGACTCCAGCTGGGTCGTTTTGCCGACATGAAGGGCTCTAAAAACGTAGCGGTCCTTGATGAATTTTCTACATTCCTCAGGTTCTTCTGTTTTGCATATTATGGGACCGGGCTGGAGCCTGGGTTGCATTGTGCACAGTGTTGGCGTGTCGTCAGACGTAGTCTGCGCAAAACTTTCTGAATGAAAAGCCGGGGCTATAGCCTCTTGGAGCTCATACACTCGGCCCCATGCGGTAGGCAGTTTTGAATTTAACGCTCAGAGCTTCAGTTCTTACTCCGTATAACTCTTGTGAAGCTTGGGTTGGTATTTCCGCTGCCTCGGTCTGGGGTCTAGAGCTTACCGGAAGCTTAAAATGGTGGAGATCGACTGGATCTTTACACCTTTTGTCATGCTACCCTTTACATGGGCTCTGCAGGGTGGATCTTCAACGACCTTGGACTCATCCGGCTTGGGACACACTTCTGCCACAACTCTCGTGCCAAAGCCAGCAGATCGTGGGGGTCGCCCATCTGGACGAAAGCGTATCCCTTGCACTTCGAGCGGTTTGTCTTGGGCATCTCCAGCACATACTTGCTGATGGCGAGGGTGTTGAGATACATTCGGAACTCTGGCTCTGTGCAGCGTGCGGGGATGTTGCGGATCATCATCTTAGTCGTCGCCAGCCACTGGATGCTGCTCGGGTGCAAGCCGAACTCCTCTGACCACAAACTGAATGACCCTTGCATCACGTCGCAGCTGAGAAGAGGCTGCCGCAGCAGTGAGTCCTCCTTATGCTCTAGGCCCGGGGGAGGTCCTGTGGCCTGCCTCCAAAACTTCGAAGGGGGAAGTATTGCCACTTCGCCGACCGCAGCGCTCACACCCAATGCCATTTGCCTTCTTGGAGATAGCCTTGCTGCAAGAGTCCCGTGAAAAGAAACCGCTTCAGCAGCTTCAGCCGAAATCGCTGCGGGCACGACTCGGCTAAGACCTTGTAGTCGCTGAGGGTCCATAGTTTAACTTTCATCTGATCAGTACTGTTGAAAGTCATTCTTAGGATACCTCCCACTGGTAGCTCATGATGAATATTCGTACTACACACACATGGTAGCAGCCTGGTAGCACCGATACAAGGCGCCTTCATACCGCATGCTTTTAACAAGCCATGCTGTAGCTCTTAGTCTGAGACAATGCCGAGGAACAATGCTTGAAACCCCCGCAACAAACCTCCTAACCCCAAAGGAACCAAGCAGTTGATTCCAAGGCTTGGGGCCAGGCCCTTCCACGGACAGGAGCTGCTGTTTCTGGTCGACCTTTCCCGGGGTTAAGGGAGTGCTCCTCTTCTGGATCCGAACAGAGATGGGCGTCTGTCTGTAACAGAGTAGGTGGGTAGAGCAGTGTTTTGCGTGTGTGTTGGGGTCGAAGTGTATGCTTGCTTGAATACCGTTCTGGGTGGCGTCATCCAGCAAAACCAAGTGGTCTGGACGAGGGAGCTGGATGAGGATCTGAAGCTTTTGCCGAAAACTCCCGAGTCCTCTACGGATCGCTAGGGTTTGAGAGGCTCTTAGAAATGGAGTTGCAAGCTTGCAACATTGCGAAATGCTGACAAAATTTTATCGGAAGCCTGGATCTTCCGGAATCCTGTACCAACCCAGGTAAGCAGTCTGGAACCACAGCGCAAGCTGCACAGCCTGCATTCTATAGGACTGGTGCACGCAAAAGTTCAACTCGCGGTTTAGCTCCCCGAAGGCCACGCCAAATTTAGACCCTTGCAGCAAGCCTGTCCGCTTACTTGACAAGGTTGAAGTGGTGAGGGGTGCACGCAGTCCCAAACAACACCGTTGCCATAGTGGCAATGACTGCAAACACGGCTGAACCTGCCAAATCCTAAACCCTAAATCGATGAAATGTTTTCACCTTCCCCAGCCTGGACGATGGCCGCAAGGTACAGCTGGATGCGAACTTCAACAGGCGGACCGTTCCTGAAGCTGAAAACCCGAAAACCTTCAGCTAAGAATCCTGAAGAACGGCTTCCACACGAACTTATGACCTGGTGATTGTCTATCAGATAAGCAGATGGATACAGACATAGAGCCAAACAGGTAGATAGACTAATCAACGAAAGCCACTCAGCCCCCGGCGCGCCAGATGTCCGATGGTTCGGAAGCGTCCTGGGCTCCTCAGTGCGACAAGGGTCCGGGCAAGCTGCCTCGCTCGCTCGTCCAGCAACGGACTCAAGAACACCCACCCCGGACACGCTGTTGCAGAGGCCTTCGGGGACGTCAGTGGAACTGTAGAACTTCAAAGTTGCCCCCAAACCAAACACCTCTTTCCCCAGGCTTGAGGGCGAGCCCCGGGAGCTGCCTGCTCTGTTGGCGGGGTGCACGGTATTTCGTGCAACATAGCCACGGGCGGAGCTTGCCTGTTCGACTAGTTGGTTTCGCTCCGCCCCTTCACTGCTGCACTCCGTGTTCTTTTCCGCTGAGTGTGTCTGGCATCGCCCCTGTGTTCCAAGACCCTTGCCATCATACCCAGTAACACTTCCCCGGGGTTCAAGGCATTCTCAGCGGCTTGTGGAGGCACTCAACTACGGGAGCCGGCTTCTGGACACAACAACCTTGCTAGCAGCTGCTAGCATCTGTCTACAACACAGGTTAGGTACTGAGTTGCCTCGCTCCTTGGTGTGGTTTTTCCCCCCCCGCTACGGCACTGAAAGGCAAACTGTGGAGCAGGGGGTGGCAGTGACATTCTGAGGACCCGGTTGTCACCTCTCTCTCTCTCTCTCTCTCTCTCTCTCTCTCTCTCTCTCTCTCTTGGTTAGGCATGTGTCACGAACAGATTGAAAACAGTTTTCGCGACCTATGAAGAGCACGGCGAAATGCTATGATCTCTGTGCTGCAGAACTCTGTAAACAAATGGCCTTCTAATTACTCTGCCTCTGTGTCTCTATATGTGAGTATGTATGTATGCATGCATGCTTGCCTGCATGCATGCATACATGTACGTATGCCTGTATATACGTATGTATATGTATACATGCATACGTGCAGATCCATCTTTTTACGTGTCAGTCGTTCTATATGTGCCCATGAAATGGGCATGCTCAAGGCAGTCCAGATGTCTGAAAATTGTGAGAGACAAGTCTCATAGCCGTTCGTGGCCAAAGAGGCAAGCAGCCCATCCGCTGTTGGACCTCTGACATGCATTCTACCTTTGATGTGTGTATGCAGCACATCGAAAGATGTCGACACATGAGTAGATAGATGAATTGATGCACGGACAGAGGGATGGACCGATGGATGTACAAAGATGGACTGACCTATCGATAAACGGACAGATGATGGATGGATAGCTGGCTAGCTAACTAGATAGCATATGTAGATAAAGAGGTGGAATTAGACTAGAATGGCCTGGATCGGATGGGTAGAAAGCCAGAAGAAGAAACAGATGAGAATCAGATAGACATGTAAGCATGTGTAGATTCCTGTGTTAGTTAGTTCCTCATCTTGTCGTCCGGGCTTGCTTTGACGTTGTGGCTGAAGTATTTCTGCGTTTCAAGCTGAGCTGAGCCCGATGCATGCAGCCAGCGATCCTGCGAAAAAGGGAGGGAGCAGCGGGCTTCTTTGTTGACAACTCCTCGGGCGTGAGGACATTCTCGGTAAGCATGAACATAAGCAAAAGCTTAGGACGGAGAATTGCAAACAAGCTTCCAGGGCCTAGTGACCTCACGTCTCGCGATAGGGGTTTCGGGCGGGTTGACCGGTTATTTTTTTTTTTCGTCCCTTCGACGTCGTGCAGACAAGCTGTTGTGCAACCACACGATAGCCTCCGGACAAGGTCTCGCTGCTAACGCAGGACATTCGGGTGCAGCATCCTGGCTTCTGTTGTTTTGGTGCTTGGAATTTACCGAATCCCCAATACCTCGTGAAGCGACTTAGAAGACTTGAAGACATTGGGTTGTAGAGTTGAGGCTCCTATTAACTCATGTCTTCACACCTTTTTGATTTTTCAGTGCTAGCACCGACACAGGGCGATAGAAAGATGCCTGGAGCCTGGCCCCACTAGTAAGTCAAGTTTGTCCCCGCACCCTCAAGGCCCTCCAGCCCTCAAGGACTCTAAACAAATAGGTCACTCTGGCAAGCAGGGACCTGAAGTCACCAGAAAAGCGGTCAGAAGCAGCTGCGGCGGATGTACCATGTCGGAGCGGAGGGCTACAGCTGGACCGAAGGACTTGGGACTTTGGGGGTTCAGCTTGCCAGAAGGCTAATGTTCCCGTAGTGGCCACGAGGGACCGATGTTGGGCTCGACAGCGATCGTAGGAACGTCGCTGGACTGAAGGGTGCTACAGCATCTTGCCGAGTTCGCAACCAAGTGGGTCCGATGTGTTCGAGCAGCCAGCAGAAAAATGCGCCGACACACCCAGCTTAGAGTTAGGAATTCTGATAACTGCTCGTCATGCTGATCGTTAGTTTGCCTGGTTATTATTTCCGCATTGTTGCAGAATCCATGGATTGGTCTTAGAGTGGAGCCGGAAACGTCGCAAGATGCACCAAGACTCAAGACGTGAACCAGGGTAATGTCATATGCCCGAAGGGTCGTCACTGACGTCGCGATCATTGCCAGAAAGGCGTCCTACTACTCTTGCTTGTCCCTGATTCAAGTTATCACTTGATTTTGTGGCAACAGGTAAACTTTCTACCGGATAAGTTTGACGGCCAGAAAGGTTGGATGATAGATGTCTGAAACGTGCTGTAACATCTTGAACTTGGGCTTGAAATCTGCTGTGTGGTGCGATGGTGGTCTTGCTGCACGAGCGACGGGACAATAAACCTGCGTATTTCACACCATAGGCTCTGAAACCTGAAAACGGGAACTTCACTCGACCTGCCGTGCTCATCCATTTGAATCCAGCTCTCTCTCTCTCTCTTCCTCTGCCTGGGCCAACCCTGTAACCCAAAACCAAAACATGAAATTAAGCCCCGGCCGGTAGGCTGGGAATCCCACGTCCGAGATGTCGACGACGAGCTGACCCCTAACCGCCTCCTCGAAGCGACGTCAAGCCGGGGCGACCAAGCTCGGTACAGAGACTGTACTAGAAGAAAACTAGACTCATTCTAGCTTGAGTCAGGTGATGCTGCGAATGCCTGAAATGCTTTTGCTTTTCGGCTTGGCGCATGGTGGGCGGGGGGGCTTGGGCACCAAGGCCTCGTACGAAACGAGTGTGAAACTTTGCAGAAATGGCCTGCTAGACCTAGCTTTCATGCAGATATATCCATAGGAGATAGAAGCGGGTGGAGGGCCTTTGATACCCGCAGGTTATGTGTTTCTTCATGGCATGACCTGACATGCTGGAGGTTCCAAGCTCCTCCCGCCACTTCAGGAGCATCGGCGCCTCAGTAGGAAATCAGTTTGTTCACAAAGCCCTGAGACCTTGGTTAGATAATTATGCCCATGAAGCAGTGCACCACCACTCCGAATGGAGCAAACACAGCGAAATAGGGGCACTCCATGTCCGGAAACTTCCTAGGAGATCAACGATTTTACAGAGCAGCTGCCAGATGCTTCGTGTCACTGTCGTGCATAACTTTTCGCGTCTAGATCACCTGTGGGCTCCGAACCACGGTGGATGAAAACACGATCATGTTGGTGAATGGCTTTGCCGGCGGGGCAACCCCATGCCGAAACCCTAAGCCTGAAGTCAATCTTTGATTCGGGGGGAGGAGACGGTCGGGGAAGTTTAAGCACCGAAGCGGCTTCAGGAACGAATCAGCATGATTTGCGCGAGCATCTCATGTCATGCTCCAAAGATGAACCTCATCAAAGCCTGACCTCTGGAAGTCCTCCACTCCTTTCCTAGATACAGACTTGCCACGAAGAACCCAGGGCTCCGACGCTCTTCTTGAACCAGACCTTCGATGCATCTGTCTTTGATGTTGACGCTACGTACTTTGGTGTTGGGCAATGCCTTCAGGAAGCCGTTTTGATCTGTCAGTGCAGAGATGGATCACAACGCCTGGGTAAAGGAGCAGCCGTAGTAGTACTGGTAAGTACGTGCTGGCACTGGTCCTGGCAGCCGTAGTCGTACTGGTAAGTACGTGCTGGCACTGGCCCTAGCAGCCGTAGTCGTAGTCGTAGTAGTAGTAGTAGTAGTAGTAGTAGTAGTAGTAGTAGTAGTAGTAGTAGTAGTAGTAGTAGTAGTAGTAGTAGTAGTAGTAGTAGTAATAGTACCAGTAGTAGTAGTAGTAGTAGTAGTAGTAGTAGTAGTAGTAGTAGTAGTAGTAGTAGTAGTAGTAGTAGTAGTATAATAATAGTAGTAGTAGTAGTAGTAGTAGTAGTAGTAGTAGTAGTATGGTAGTAGTAGTAGTAGTAGTAGTAGTAGTAGTAGTAGTAGTAGTGGTAGTGGTAGTGGTAGTGGTAGTGGTAGTGGTAGTGGTAGCAGTAGCAGCAGTAAAAGTAGTAGTAGTAGTAGTAGTAGTAGTAGTAGTAGTAGTAGTAGTAGTAGTAGTAGTGGTAGTAGTGGTAGTAGTACTAGTAGCAGCAGGAAGTAGCAGCAGTCGTAGTCGCAGTAGTCGTCGTCGTAGTAGTGGTAGAGTAGAGTAGTACACTGTAGTTAGTTGATGTAAGCTCGTCGTTGTCCTAGTGGCCGGCTGTCTGTAGATCTGCCTTGTTGCCGTCGTCCTCCTCCTCCTCCTCCTCCTCCTCCTCTTCCCCATCGTCGTCTTCATCCTCGTCCGCGAGCCTCTGGCCTCGAACCGCGCACCTCGTGCTTCGTAACTCGTACTACTTCCTCCTTGTCCTCGTCCCGTCGTCTTCGATGTAATCATGTAGGCAGCACTGTCAGTGGTCGCAGTCTTCGACGACGTCGTGGTAATACAGCAGCAGCAACAGCCACGGCAGTAGTCCAACAGGCTATGCCGGCCGAGGGAAACTGCACGGTTTTATACGGAGATGACTATATATTGCAGTTTCAACGGTCTACACTGTCTACGCAGTACTTGCCTGCAATATTGCGGGAAGTCGGTAATGGCTTGGGCCTTCGCGACCGAAACAAGATCTGAACATAAGGATGCCTAAATGTCGGACCCTTAGGTTTGCGTCATGGCCTTTTGGGGCCGTACCATCAAAAACCGAGGATCCAACTTAGGTAACCGAGCTACATTTAAACTTGGAACCCGAAACCACCCGTGCCTGGTCGAAAAGTTGTCTGAGCTCCGGTGTCTCGAGGGTGTTCTGAGCGCACCGAAACAGATTAGCATTGTCACCGGACGTAGGGTCTGGACAGTGACCAGCTTGCTGCCAACCCCGAAAGCAATGAAACACACCGGTGAGTGGCTTTCTCTCACCACGTGCGCAGAGCCTGGAAACCAAGCCAAGCTTCAATATACGCAGATGTAACCCATGCATTATACTAGCTTGCCTTACAATGGACTACATCACACTCACTACATTACATCACATCTTCATTGTTACACAGAAAACCACTAAATTGCATTACCTTAATTAAATTACAGCACATCGCATTGCATCAGCTTGTGCTGCAGTGACCGTAAGACAACATGTGTGGACCCTGAAGCTGAGTTTTCATAGAGTCCAGCTTGGGGCTGCGAGATGTGGGTACTAGTCCATTGACTTCTGAGAGAAACACGACTCCAAATCTAAGTACGATGTACGCTTCCATGGGTCTAGCTGACGCTGTGAAGGATTCCTTATGAGTGGCTTTTTGTCGTGATGAGATTGCCTATAGAGCTGCCCGACAAGCAATCGAACTTAAAACAACTGAAGAGATCCAACCCACTTTGATGGACTCTGGGACTTCAAGAGCGAAACACAAGCTGAGGTCTCCGGGCCCCTCAACTTCCTGAGACCGCACCAAAAAAAACAACCAAGCCGGTTTTGGGTTCAGTGCTCGAGCTACAGCCAAAACGCAATCATCCTGTAAACCCTCGTCCTATATGAGCCCCAAATCTACTAAACCCATCCAGGGAACGCTGCCCTTAACGCCCATAAACCCTTGCTACCAGGACTCTCCTTGTACCCTCAACTAGGGCTATATGGTCCCAAAGAAGGGGCATTTAGGGTCGAATAGAGGGTAGATGGAGGTTACCGTTGGTTAGTAGGGAATGGAGGAATGGGGTACAATTATAACTACCATTACCCCATTCCTCCATTCCCTACTAACCAACGGTAAGACAAACCCTTGCTACTTCAAAATCCTGCATTACCCATTATAAAGAGTATGTCATAGTTCCCATAGTTTAGAGTCCTTACCCTAAGGCCCCAAAGTGGTTCCTTTTTGGGATTACCTTATAGGATTCTAAATATGAACCCCAAAAAGGAACTACTTTGGGGCCTTAGGGTAAGGACTCTAAACTATGGGAACTATGGTATATTCTTTATAATGGGTAGGGTCATGCCTAAACCCTAAACCCTAAACCCCAGTATAGGTACTTCTAGGGGCCCTGCTCTGGAGGCCGAGGCTTTCCGCGAGGCTTTGGCGGCGACGTGAGCGGCAAACTTGGCCGCATCGATGCAGACCTTGGTTTGGTTCAGGTGGGTTTGTAGTGTTTTATAAAACAGTAGGCTTTGTAGTGTTTTATAAAACAGTAGGGTTTGTAGTGTTTTGTAAAACAGTAGGGTTTGTAGTGTTTTATAAAACAGTAGTGTTTGCAGTGCTTTATAAAACACTGTTTAGTTTAGGGTGGGTTTGCCAAGGTTTGGGGGCCTTGGGTAAACGGGTGGGGGCTGGTTTCTGTTGAGGGGTCTATGGCGTTCTTTTCAGCGGTGGAGGGTTCAGGGCTTGGGCTAGCGTGGTTTTGGGATCTGGGGTTCGGGTTTACTTTGTGACAATGGCTTGAGCTGGGCTTGATCGGTTTCGGGAAATCTCGAGAGTGCGACTTGGTCAGACAATGGCCCTTGATGTGCGGACGGAGGTGTCATTACAATCATATCATATTTCCGCCATCAGAGACGAGTTACGTAGGCTTGTGAATGCATGGGAACATTCTACCGTGCGTGCGCGCAAGCTGTAACCCCATCCAATGATAACTCCAGGGAACTACTGAGGCTCCCGTCTTAGGGCTTTGGGTGCGTTCCCAGGAGAACTAGAGAGGGAGAGGCCAAGAGACACACTGTGAACGCAAGACAAAGAGAGATATAGCTAGGGAGGATATCAGCACAAGAGCTATTCGGAGTTGGTT